TCTGTCCCTGGCTGAGCATGAGCAGCTCCAATTGCCATATCATTGGCATTTGCTGATTCCATCGACTCCATATCGTGCTGAGTTATGTTCCTATCACTCATCACCCAGCTAGTCCAGTGGCTACAGTGGGAGCTCCGCCAACTGCTTATCAGTTAATGCGGCGCTTTATTGAGTTATGGAAATTTGCGTTCATTGGGTTTGCAGGATATTGCAGAATATAACAGGATGTCGACGGCTCTATTGCTCAGCCCGTTCTGACTGGCGGGTAACCGCAGACATATTTTCCAATTCATTTCCCTGCGTGTTGTTCACGAACGAAGCGAGGCATCTAAAATTCAAATATCAACGCTAAAAAGCGTTGCCATGTTCCTGTCCCAGCTCGCATCCATATCCTGCCTGTTTTATGCAATATCGCATGCTCTCTATCATCATTCGCATCGTCATCATGGATATGGATGTCATCATCCCCTTCTTTGGATAGACTCGACTCGCTTTTACGATCCGATACTAATAATGTCGTCTGTTGTATGTTGCCGCCGTCGGGCGTCGGCGCCAAGTTGCATAATTCAATTACATCCGATGTAGACCCATAAAACTAAATCAAAGGAAAACAAAGCGTCACACTTCATTTACCCGGCGTGCTCCCCACAGTTACATGCCCATCCTCACATCCGTATCCCATCCTGCCTAGACTCTTGCCTGGCTCTGTAGTTTTTCCAATCATACAAATTTGGCGCTACTTGCAACAGCCTCTTTCCAGACAGCAAGAAGCAATAAAAATGTTGAGCGAAGAAAATCTTCTTACTCCTTAGTCCACTTCCCATATCCCTGTCCCTTTATCCCTTGATTCTGTGGACGGGCGGATCTTTCATATTGCGACGCTGCTTATCCTTTTGGCCCATTGCCGACTGCTGACATCCAAGTGGACTTCGACAGTTGATGGCTACTGCGACTGCTGCTGGCAAGCAAAGTTTTCCGTCGCTTCCGACCAGCTTCCCATCCCCAACCCCCTTCTAAGCTCCCCACTAAGTCAGGGCGGATGCGACTGAGTTTGTGGCCCAAAGCATCAAACAATTTACTCGCCTGACTTTTGGTTATAGTTTTGCTTATAGTTTCCCTCGGAATAATAATAAAGACAATATCGTAGCAAGTGATTCGCCTGATTTCCCCTTAAATTTCTCTCAGTGTAGTTCTGTTTATGGCTGCCAACGAGCCAACGAGCCAACTACACGAAAACTTGGCCTTGGCCGGAGGCGCTTCTTAAACTTGTTGGCGGATTTTGAATTAGTGCCAAGAGTAAAGTGTTGGCCCATTATTATCTTTCGGACTTCATAAGTTGACTCGTAAAAATCTCGATAGTTCCGCAGATTCCATTCCAGGATCTGCCACAAGGAAGGGAGTCACTTGAAGCAAATTGTGACGCATAAAATAAAAAGAAGTGAAGTGAAGTTGGCATCTAGGTTGGGTTCAAGTCTGAGGGTTATTGGCCCCATATGACATGTGAGTGCCGCAATTACCCATTTATCGAGGTAATTAACCAACGAGTCAGGAATACGGAATACGTGAGGCAATAGAAACCTGGCAGCTGCCAGTGGGCAGTTGGCAACAGGCCAAGGAAAAAAGCCTGAACCAGAAACTTGAGATCTCAAATTTAAAGGCATTTAACTGTAAGTGGCAGCAGCCCATCACCTGCCTCTCCCCTCTTCCTCTCTCAACAGCTGACAATACGATTGCAAAGCGTTGAAGCAATAAAGGAAATGCCCCAAAATGTGGCAGCAACAGGCAGTGCGGTAGGACTGAAGCAAGTGTCCGAGCTTGTGTTGCTTTTGTTGCGGACTGCGGCAAAGGATTGCAACGGACTCTCGGCGGACACATCAGATACATCTTTTATATTGTTGCACTCGTCTTCTTCTTCCTTTTCCCTTCATCTTCTGCTTCCTTCTAAAATATTTGATCTGAGAATTTGCAACGATTTGTAAAGCGGCCGCAACTTGACAGCCATTCAAGGACTCTGATAACTGTGCGCCAGGATAAATGGGATGAGCGACTGGAAAGTGCATTCACAGTGTTCGGTCAACTGTGAATTATTCCCCCCTTCCCCTCTTGGAGACTGTGAGACGCCTCTGCAGCTGCATCTGCTGCCTGGCAGGATTACTTCACGAGGCAATTTGTCCGGCGCCAGCAGGACACAAGTTTTGGCTGGAAAAGGAAAAGGAGTTTCAAGGGGAAGTCGAGGGGAGGCGCTCTCCTGCGGGTCACGTGCCCATTTTGTTTACATGGCGCATTAAGAGGATTCCGTTTCGTTTTATTGCGATTTGATTCTATTTTCTGTTCTCTGTTTTTGTTTGTTGTTGTCCTCTGCCTCGCGTGCGCCTGCCACATGCACACACACCCCTTCTGTGCACACACACCACACAGACATTCACACACACGCCACTAACTCACCTACACACACATACACACACACACAAACTACATTCAGTCGCAGCCACAGATCAAGTCTCACATACTATTTGTTTTTGTTCTCGCATTCGCATTCGCATTATTATCCTTTTCCTTATCCTTATCCCGCTTTGCAGTGTGCTTTGGGTTTTACTCTCTCCCTCCCCTTCTACTACCCGGCACCCTCTCTGCTGGGGTTGGTGTGAACTTTGCCACTTTGCTGCAGCTTTTTTCAGTTCCTGCAACTATTTAAGCGTCTGTCAATTGTTGTTGTTGCAGCTCGTGTTGCTTATTGTTATCCCTCTTTGCAGCTTTTTATACACATTTGTTGCACGGGGTGGTGGCTCGCTTAACCTTTCCCCACCTCTGCCTTGACTGGTTTTTGTGGGTTTTTCGGCTATGAGCTGGATTCATTACAGAAATGTGGGCGTGTCCCTGGGCTGCTGCTTTTTGCTTCCACTGATAAGTGCACGTCTGGTGGCTTTGTGGTTCTCCTGTGGTTCTGCCTGCCTATAAGCTTATCTGTTATCAGTTGCAGTCGCTCTAAAGTACTCCACCAGGGAGTCGATGTGCCCTGTCTTAAGTCAGAGTTTAATCGCCTGCAATTTACTTGGTCGCCACTTAATGGCCACACGAGGCACGTGGCTCCTGCAGGACTCCACTTTACAATCTCCAATCTCCCTTCGTCAATTCATTTTACATTTGCACGTGTAAACATCATAAATGACGTCACAAATTGAGAAAAGGGTTTTCTTTCGCACAGCGTGAATATTTTCAATTATTTTTTGAGGCTTTCCTTATGACTTGCCATTTGATGATTTTCTTGCAGAACCTCAAGGCTCGTTTTCTTTAATTAAAAGTCCAGAGCACAAAGTGTCCTTCCTGCTGAGGCTGTCACAACATTTTTTGAAGGAAATTTTCTGTGCTTGTTTGCTGCTTGGGCGGCTTTTTGTTATTGGTAATGAGGCATATTTGAGGCGTTCGGGAATGTAATTGCGAACTAATCAACCTTTTTTAATTGAATTTCTGCAGCTGGCAATGCCAAATAGCCGAACAGCCGAACAGCCGGGTCTGCATTGACCCCTCTGCGACTTTTTTCAAAATCAAAGAAAGTTATTTCATTAAAAATTTTAATTGACATTCGTTCTTCTAGTAAATTGAGCTTTGTGTCGGAAGCTCTGGCCATCTGTCAGTTCCTGGGACAGGTCCTGCCAAATAACTTTGCCCTGGCCCCAAATGAATCAAACAGACAGTTTTCATATATATTTTCTGCTTTTTTGCTTGTGCAGCTTTTAGTTGTTTTTTTCCTGTTTTTTTCCCCCAAATTTTTTTTTCTTTTTTATATATTTTGATGTAATTACTGCGACAAGTTGCCCAATTTGCTTAGTTCGGTTCCAACTTCGTTGAGCTCGTCTCATTTAATTAGTTTGGAAAATGTTGCTCCCAACAGTTCATCATTCTCTTTCTCTGGTCCTGCATCGCCTCAGCTCTTCTTTTAGTTACTGTTGTTGGCAGCTAACAGGAAATTGCTTCATTTCGACGGCTTTCGAGTGACAAATTGAATTTGCAGCACAACAAATAGGGCTACTTGTCACAGTCAGAAGCCCACACACATCCATATGGCTGATATACAATTAAATATATGCAAGTGTTTGTGTTAACATGTAAGTACAAGCTATCCACAATTCCGTTGCAAGTTTCTTTCTCCATTGCATTATTCCAAATAACAGCGTTTATTATTTGCAGAGAAAGACATTTCAGCATCAGAATTTATAATTCACAATCAGTTAAAGCGCAAGTTCACATAAGTCCCATTTTACAACATTCAACATTTCTGTATTATTTTCATCAAATCTATCTTAAGATCTAGCTACTTTATATAGCGCAATGTGAAATACTATTAATTATATAATAATAATAATTTTATGAGTTCAATATTGTATTCAATTTGAGAGTATTTTTTTAATGGTAATTTCAAGGAGGAACACAGGTAAATATTGAGCTAGCTTGAGGACAATGAACTGTTTGTCAAGCAATCAACTACATAGTTTTACTTAATAATATTCTGTTGTTCCTAATGAGTTCGACCTGGACTGGGGATATTTATATGTATATATTCATATGAGCGTCACACTTGAGACCAATACAATTAATTTTGGCCTGTTATTGCGAGGCATTTCCATAATTATTATTGAATTATGTGATATGCTTATTAACTTATCGGTTCATCAATAGAATCCCTTCGACCCCAATCGTTTCCTCGCTCTCTTTCTCTCCAAAACAAAGCATAAATAGTGGGAAGGAAAAGCACAAAAAAAAAACACATGCCATTTGGAAAAAATGCGCAACAGTTGCATGTGGCAACAACAAACCAGCAAACAATTGTCCCTTCTGCTGTTGCAAACACCCTAACCTCCCTGCGTTCAAGAGCCGGCATATTGCCAGTCGAGCTGCGCATGTGCCCACACAGTCCAAACACGAAGGCAACTATGTCGAAGCTCGGCTTTTTGGGGTTTCGGTCTAAGTGTTTCTCGGACTGCGTTTAGTCGCGCACAGCTTTCCGGTAGAGTCAGTCGGTCGTGGAGCACGCGAAAGGAACGCGAAAGGCACGCGAGCATCCTTATTGTGCAATATTGCCGGCAGTTCGGCCATAGAGGACACGCAGACTCGATTTCGTGAAGTGACGAACTGAACTCCGTCCAAAATACCAAATATTTCTTTCGTTTCGAACCCAAAACCCAGCGAATCATTAATAAATGTAAAGCAGAACGTGCGCCGCGCCATCCACAACATCAGCATTATTCTTGTTCGCGGTTGGCGGTTCGCCTCGCGCGTGCTCTGGCAACCAGCTACGAGGAGGACATTGAGCCCCAAATGCCCCAAGAGCCATGTTGACAGGCTTAAATGGGCTTTTAAGCGCTTAAATTTCCAAGGCGCTTTTCCACTCATTACCAAAACCCCGCCACCCCCGTTTTGCAACAAGCCTGTCAGCGTTTGGCTGGTGTCCTGTGAAATGATATATTATAGCCAAGCAAATAAAAGTGTTGGCCCAAAGTGCGAATTCGTTCTCAGCCAAAAGGATTAAGCACGCCCCCAAGCTGTGCCTGTGCGTGTGTGTTTGTTGTTGTGCGTGTCAACTGGCCATAAGGCCGCATGTCTGTGTCGAATTGCCAATGAAAGGATTAAAAGCATAACATTTCATATCGGTTGACAGTCCGCAGTCCGCAGGACACAGGGAACAGGACTCGGCGCCTAAGCTGATTGCGTTTTGATAAGTAAGCATTTAATGTGTTTTACTAAACACTTTTTTCAACACTCAACAACAGCTTCAACGCCCGCACAAACACACTCAGAGTCCTCTCGAACCCGAAGGCAGCAGCCGTGTCTAACCAGCCGGCACGGTTCGAGACGGGACGTCAACAGACGACCCACTTCAAAGTGAAACTAAATAAATATTTTCGCATTTAACCATTGCGTCCTCTTTACTGCCAGACATGTGTGTGTCGAGTACACTGTGCGAAACCAAGAAACAAATCTGATAAGCATTTTTTATAAATCCAAAAACTTTTAGTGGAGACTAGTTCGCTGAGTTGTATAAGTTACCTAGTCGGTAAGGGGGAATATATTTAAAGGGTTGGGCATTATTTAAAAACATTTAGTTATCTTTGTATACGTTGCTTGCGCTCAGTGTATGCTGTTTGTGAGGAGTGTTTGTGTTAAGCGTTGACACTAATTGCAATGTGCGACAGATTAAAAGCTTTTGACCAACTCTATAAAGTAGGCAATAAAAACAATTTAAACGACTGCTCGTTCAGAAAATGCCCTGTAAAATAAAGCATGAATTAATAAGCAACGGCCAAAAGGGTTCTAAATGTTATGGACTTAAAGAGAGAGGGACCTTACAACAAAAGGGACACTTCAAACACTAAACTCAAAGTTTATAATGTTCTCTCCGTACGGTGTGCTTTACAGGGTGTATAAGTAGCTGGTTTGCAGCACATTTTGTCTACCCTCACAAATAATGTTTGGGGCTACACAAGTAACTATTGCTTTTCATTTAAAAAAAGTAAGGCGGACAGCTTCTTCTTAACGTCGCATACCTTGTCTGCAGTTAATCATACCCTGTTAACATAACATTATAGGGTAAATAAGTAATGCGTGCTCCCTATTTTAAATAAGCGAAAGTTAATGGCCGCAAAATCCGTTCAAATCAAAAGGAACAACAGCAACTTGAGAAAATGTCAACTTATGCAAATCTTACTCTGCGCTTGGGCGGTCTTGAGCGATTGTCGAGCGCACCGCACCCATCGCTTCCCCCCACCATCACCCTACACCTTTTGCACGCTCACGTCCCAGACACGCCACGCCGAGCCAGGGCGCACGCTGATGGAATGCCTAAGTGCTCGGCCAGGATACGATGGCTGCCACATAAATGGGCAAACATAAAGGACAACAATGGGCACACTGGCAAAGTGCAACTAAATGTTGCCCCAAAATGTATGCTACAGTTTTTTCAGCCTTTCTTTCTGGCTCGCTTCTTTCTTTTATGTTCGCATGCCTCTGTTTTTTTTTTGGGGGGGGGGGGGCACAGCTAAGTGGACGGCGTCTGATTATGTGCCCAAGTTGAGAAATATGCATAGATTAGGCACGCTTTTAGCGCCCTGCTTGACGACTCAATGTATCAATTATCCCCGTCCAATTGCCCTATAAAAACACAATGTAGAGAGCAGCTTGTTAGGGGCATAAATACTTGACTTTTATTTATGCAAGCCCCACCTTTCATTTCATTTTTTCAGATATAGCTGAATTATAGCCACAGGACTTTTGGTCCTTAATCCCAAATCTGAATATGATACGATTTTAATAACCTCAAATGACAGCCATAATAAATCAATGATTATTGCCCCGGCATTGTCCTGGGAATCGCCAGGCTCCCATTTCAAAGCTTTAAAATGGCTCGTTGAGTCGAGTTATTTCTTTTTATGGCACTTGCCAGATAAAAGCTACAACCAGACAGGGTGGTTCCACTGGGTGTGAGGGAGGTGGTCGTTTGGGCTGCGAGGGGGTGCGTGGGGATGCGTCGTTGAGGGCGCCTAAGAGTGTCATCGCTAAGCTGCGATTCTGTCACTTGCTCTCGCTTATAACAATAAATTTACCGCACATAAATATGAGAAATGGCCACAGACAAGCGACCGATTGTACGAGTTATCAAAAGGAGCACATAAAACATAATTGAGATTGTTTTTCATGTGAAATGCAATGTTAGGAAATCACTTTGGAATTTATAGAAATCGCTTTAAGTAATAAATGATTCCACAGTTAAACTTTAAATTTATTTATTTGGGAAATTACTTTGGAATTTATAGAACTTGGTTTTAATTCCATAAGGAATTTCACATTTAAGCTTGAACTTAATTTGATTTGCTTTAAAATAATTTTTTACTTCACAACTATTTTGAAGATTGAACAAGAGCTTCATTCAGCTCTTGATTTAGAAAAAATGTTTAATCAATCGAAATATTGATTGCAAGAGTCTCTTTTGTGCACTTTCATCTCATAGATTAAATTTGCTTTCGCAACCGCCCATTTAAGCCACAATTGTAGCCCTAAATAAATTGTACGTGTTCATTGAAAATTGCACAAATTGTCAATTAGATAGCAACAAATTAAATGGCACAAATTCCACTCTCGCAGTTGGAAGCAAGCCACCGTGACTAAAGCCAGCCTCAACCAACCACATTTTGAGCCACAGCCTTTATTAGTGTCCATGGAGTTGCGATATTTAGTACACATGTGCCTGGCACACAACGACAAATTGTCTCCCCGGCCCCGGGGCCTGTCTATTACATATGGGCTATAGTAGTACACGCCCTCGACCCCTCTCTCATTGTACAGCGGGGCGCAGCGCCGAAATGTAACAAAATCGCACAAATGGCTTGCAGCACTTCCCGCCTACGTCCCTGCCGTTGTCCAATCGTAATGCTCACTCTCCTCGTCCCAAATGTAAATTAATTGCCTGTACAAATTAGCCAACTCGGCGAACATTTCGAACATTTTGGACATTAGGCCAAGCACAAAATGCTGGCAGAAATGTGCCCATAAAGCGCCTCTCCCTAATTTCCCCACACGAAATAATTGCCGAATCACCAGCAAATATAACGCAATCGAAGCTACCAGCTAAAATATACCCTACTTTGAATATAAGTGCATTAGATCTGTTGCCGATTTGTGTTGCAATAATAATCAAGAAAATACAAATAAAAGACAGTACATTGGAAGCCTTAGATCTTCTTGAACAAAAGAAGAAAAGCTGGAGCTTTTGATTAAGTCTAAAGCCTAAAAGTTTTACTTAAGCATGTTTATGCTATGGTTAGAGTAGATAAAAGCGCGCTTTTAAATTAAATTCTTTCAGCTTATGAGAAACTTTGAAGGCAAGCAACTTAAAGCTTTAATGAGCTTTTTCAACTTTCATTTGTAGCTTCCGCATGTAACACACAAAAAATGTAAATAACTGATGTACCCTGCAACTCGTATAGACTTCGTACAGGTATGGCGCACAAAAATTTTGTCATTGTCAGGTAAACAGATGCAAATGTCGCTCGTTATTTTTAATCAGCTATCAAACTGTAAAGCTGCAAATTTATCTAAACCATTGTCGAGAAACAGGTGCAAAACAGTTGCCATTTCAGTTGAATTTTAATATTGTGCGCGAAATTTTTTTGTAAAATATTTACCCCTAGTTTAATGAAGTCGCGCACACAAACCAACCCCAAGTCCGCCTCCCCCATGACTTTTGACTGTTTGCATTAGTTTGTTTGAGCTTGGTGCATGCATATTGAAATTTGTAGGTTTATGAGATGGGAGGCGAGTCACATTAAAGCTAATGAGCGAAATGACGCAGCATTTGACCAGGGCGAAAAATGGGTATTGAACTGCAACCAGATAGGGCAAATGGAGGCCAACTGTTTGCTAAATGCGTGCCGCAGGCCAAATTGTCGGAGTTGAGTTTATTGACGAATATTAAAAATCTCGAATTACTCAAAGTTTGGGTTTTTGCTTGTTTTTATGAACGCTATTTTTGGATGAGCTTAATAGCCAAGGCGATGTGGCAGTCGTCTGGTGCTGCTGTTTTTTGCCAGCAACTGAATCTGTTGCCATTGTATCAAAAACAACAAATGGGGCGGCTCAGAGCATCCCGCCCCTGCTCCCTGCCACATGCCCACTGCCCCGTTGCTTTGTGTCTGCAATTGAAGCAAAAGCAAGTGCCCCGCGGCTCTTGGCAACATGGCACAGCAATTGGAACGAGTCTAGAAATGAGAAATGGAAGCTAGGAATGGCAAATGGGAAACTAGAGCAAGGCGAACTGGCATTTAAAGTCGCCAATGGGGGTTGGTGGAGCAGTAGGGGGCACAGGGAGTACGCGGCAAACAGCAGAAAGCTCAGCGCCCCAGAGGAGGGGCAGAGATTGGGGGTGAGATTTGCCGGCAATTGAAACAACAACGAGGCGGAAATAAAATATTAACTTTGCTTAACTCAAACTCACGATTCAATTAGAAACGAAAGCCATTTTATAATTGAAACGAGCCTGCCTGCCACCCCACGCCACGCCCTGAGGCGCCAACGCCCCTGCCACACAAAACAGCCTTTCCTCATTTGGCGCAACGAAATGAACGATAAACGCGAAACGGTTGTGGCATAGACCAAAGGCAAACAATAAAGAACATCAATAAATATTGCGAGCAACAAAAATTAGCAAAAGGGAATCCTATGAAGATAATGATTATGGCTTGTGGGGACCAGAGTGGGAAGCAAAATAGAAAGATGATTATTCATTAGACTCCACATCATGTAATTGAAAAGTTTTTTGAATTGACAGTTGCCAGGACTCACATCGTCATCATCAGCATCCTGAAGCAACCCGAACATCATCTTCAAGCCAAAGACAAAGCCCGTCGCTCAATTTGTCACTTGCGCGAATGGGCGGGCTTGCGAGGGAGGCGTGGCGTGGCGTGGCGTGGCGCTGAGTCGAGGCATGGGGCACTGACTGATGATGCGTGTGACTAAGCAGAAAATTTTCAACATTGGCTCCCCAGTTTCACGATTCCGTCTGCCGCCTGCGACAGCCAACAGACAACTCTCTGTCCCTGTCCCGGTCGGGAGATATACATCCCTCGTTTCCTTATCCTTCCTTCTGATTATGATTGAGTTGACGTCGTTAATATGTTATCGATGATGACGTCGAGCGCTCCTCCATCGCGAGGGAAGGCAGCCTCCCAACGTGCCAGCGAGTGTTTGCCACGCGCTCGCGACTTGTTGGACTGAAAGGAAGCTGAGGTGAGCTGCTTGCCTCCTGCTGCTGGCTGCTGGCTGCAGGCTGTTTGTCTGCTGCTCCATTTAAATCAGTTACATTCCTCGCAATGTCAACACAAATACACACAAGGGACACACACCCCCACACACACAGCCGCACACACATGTGCACTTACATTTTGTTATTTGTCTTTTGAATTATTAATGAACTTGCTGAATGGCATTGGCTTCAGCTTCAGAGTCAGCTTTTGGGCTTGGGCTGTGGCTGTGACTGCCTGGCAGGGATCTGAGCTGCAATTGACGTCCTGATGATCTGGTTCTTAATCAAGTGAGTCGTCGCCTTGCGTATCCTTGCGGCGGCCGCTCTCATCTCAGATAAGTTTAATTAAATCCTTGCCACACTTCGCATTCCGCATTCTACGGCTGCACTTTTGCCACGCCCACAGCTGCGTTGACCGCGCATTGCAAAAGTTTAAGCACTTTTCCATAGCTGTGGAACAAGAGTGAACGAAAAGCCAAAGAAGTGGAAGCGGCAACAAAGTTTTCTGATTTCGATTTTTATTGCGGCCAAAAAACCCAGAAACAGTTCCCAATCTGCAGCCATGGAGATTTGGAAGGGTAGCAGGAGAAAAGAGGAGGGAAGAGGACAGGTGGAATTGGAGGTCGGTTTCTTGGCAACAATTTCATTTTGGAGGCACTTGACTGCCGTTCTTCCTATTTCTCTTTCCCTCCTTTCCTTCCATTTGCATTTCCATTTCCATGCCAACTCTTGACTTTCCACCTGGCTAACTGTTTTGACTTTGGCACTGGCTCTAGCTGCACCCAGAAGGCGTGAGCACCACTAGGGTAGGGGCACAACCACTTCAACCACAAAATCCACACAAACATTTTTGCAAACAAAAAGTTTATCCCATTTTTCTCGTTCGCCCTTCCATTGCCCACTGAATTATTTAGAGCAAAGAAACACACGAAATATTAACAGGAATTTATTAAAACATCAGTCGAAGCAGCACATGTGAGCTTCAATCAAATAAGAACCTCCTGCTGTTCCCTTTTCCCTTTCGTCTTTCTGTTGGACGATTCTCGAAGCTGTTAATCTTTTTTCAACTTTGTAATTACTTTTGCAGGCAGAAAACTTTCTTTGAGCTGCACATTTACAAATTATTTTCGAAACAAACAAACAACAAAGCCACTCAACCACAGCACCACACACGCCTCTTACACACACTCTCGCACCACACACTCCTCTAACACACTCTCGCACCACACATCACAGAGTGTCACAGACTCTGCATCTTCAGTCCGAAAGTCAACTAAATCACTTTCTATTCAACAGGACTGTGCTTGGAACTAAGAGTCGAGCAGACGGCACAAAAAGGCCACCAGCACAAGGAGGACAACCTGGACACGTGCTCGACACCAACAACTGGCACTAGCCACTGACCAGCGGGCGAGACGTTGCCAACGTGACGAGCTGAACCACCAGCAGCAGGAGTGGAAGCAGCTAGGCAAGGGGGAAGAAGTGGCCAATAAAAAAGCTAACGAAATGCTGATGCCGCTTGCAGTCGACAGGCGAACTCGGCAACAACAACAAAAACAACCGAAGCAACCGCATTAAAAACAAAACTGGAAAAGTTGAACCCAGTCCGTAGAAGGGGACAGCCAGAGTAAAAGTTCCAAATTTGCCAGACAGAGTCCACGTAGAGCTGCTCGTCGCTTTGTGGCCGCATCCGGAACTGTGAGCAGCAGTTGCCGTTGCCGGAATTTGATTTTAACGCATTTCTCAGAGCCGCGCCATATCAAAACCGAGCTCAGGCCCAAACGGAACAGTCTCGTCTGTGCCTCCGGAAATTTCAATGGCAACACATTGAAATTGGCTGTCACAGAGCCAAAGGGGAATCAAACTCCACGCGGGCATTCATGCGGGAGATCCGCTGGAATGAGCGCCAATTGTGGCGTCACATGCACTGACAAGCTATTAACTGTATGTCTGGCACCCAAATAAGCATCCCCATCACGAAACAGCTGAAACTGAAGGGGGAGAAGAGGAAGTGCTCCTCATGCTAAGTATGGCCGCCAGCCGCAGCTCGCTGCTGCAGCTGCTCTGGATCTCTTGGATCACTTGGCAGCTACCTTTGGTCAGCGGATATCTAAACATTTTTATCAGCCACCACGAGGTGATGAAACTGATGGGTAAGTCCACATATGAAACCTATTTCTGAGAGGGAAAGTATGTTTCGATTTGAAAGTAATCGTTGGGACAGTTGCTCGAACCTCGAGACACGCCTCCGACCCCGCCCCACAGATATGATTAATAGTTGAATGGCAAAGTGCGACAGGACAAATTCATTGCTCCTCAACAGGAAAAACAAACAAGCACAGTCAAGGAGGGGTAAGGGTGGAAGGGAGGCGTAGGCACAGACCACGTCGCAGTCATTAATAGTTCCAAAATAATTGTTGACCATGACGACGACGACGACGTCGAGACGAAGAAGAGGAGGTGGACGACCACAAAAGTTACGCGAAAACACGACAAAACAAATCCACACAAATCGATTTCCGGCTGTAGCCGGAGCCACCCTCGCACCTTCACCTTCGCCTTCACCACCCTGTTGACAGCTGCAAGTGGCTGCCCGCCATGCTTGGCCACCCCTCAGCCAGCTCCGATTTTTTCCCTCTCCCCCTGCTGATAACGACTTCACAGACCGGTGCGGCGCATTTTGTTGTTTGTTTTGCTGTTTTCCCGTTTGTTGCTCAACGCGAGGCCTCGTTATTGATGGCGCCAGCTACTCAAGTGCCTCCAGATCGACCTTGTGCCAGGCCTCGCCCCTACCCATTCCGTATCCTCGAAAATAGTTACAGTAATAGGCATTCATTCGGCGTGCCAAGGCGGAATGACGTCCTGCCCGTCGCGTTCTTTTACTCACGTTGATTAATGGTTCATGGCTCCAAAATGTGAGTCGGGGCGGTTCCAATTCGCTCTCCAACTCCCTTTACCCACCAGTTCATCATTCCACTGTGCACAGCATTTTCCGGCACTTAAGTGTAATTGGAGCAAAATGCTTCCATCTCATTATGCAGGCTCAATCCTAGTCCTAGTTCCCACTGGTTGCTTCTAATCGCCAAATCACGGCACTTCAATTAGTTGAACAGCATAAAAATAATCCACACAAGGTCCGCTCGAGGCGCAGATTGATGAATGGCCAGGCAACTTTGAGCTGCAGCTGTCGCGCATGTTACTAGGTCAGCTACTACACCTCCCCTTCCTTGCCTCCTTCTCCTTGCTTTGCCTGTATCAAGTGCTCCCCTTTCGTTCTGCACTTCTTTCTGAGACTGCATTCAAGTGTGCTGAGCCATGAGCTGCTCGTCCGAGCAATTGACACTTCACAAGGCGCGGCCCTTGGCTCCCTCTGACCCCTGTCATCCTTCAATGCAAATCGGATTTCATTAGCGACAACTCAAAGAATCTTCCACTTTGTTTGTTGCTCTTTGTAATTTCCTGTGCTATGCGCGATTTCCAGAGATTCCATCTCGCACTTCCTACAGATACCCTCCTTCCTTTCCCCTTCTTCTTTTCCACCCCATCCACAGAGCTCGTTATGTTTTTAACGACCAGTTATCAGCCCCTTATTCATAATATTTGCCACCCTCTGGCCCTGTTTCCATTTCAAAATGAACAAGCAGCTTGGAATCAAACAAACTGACCCATCCAACTCTATCGTCTCCCCCTTCCCATCAACAGTGCTACATGCCGTTGCATGATTTATTTTCAGGTCCCCTCATCCTTCTCCGCATATGTCTCTATGACTGTTTGTTCGTGTGGAAGACGCGTCATAGCTGAATGACCCCATCCCAAACCCAAACCCAAATCCAGACCCTAACATAAGTCCCATCTCTCTCTCTGTTTCAGTTCCCTTCCTCTCTTCCAACATACGCATTTCTCGAATAACTTCGCTCTCTGGCAGTCCTCTCATTGCTGGCTGCCTGTGATTGACGTGATGCATTCCGGCAATAAAAATCGAGTACACAGCTCCCTTCAACTCCCCCTTCCCCCCTCGCCTTTGCACCCTTGATTCGAGTTACAATCTGTAAGTTTGTTCCATAAAGCCAGCTGTAAACATGAGTTAAACGATTTCTTTTCTGGCTGCTTCTAACTATACTTTTATATACATATATTTCGATACCTTTTCCCTCGATGAAGTGACGACAACATTAAAATTAAATATTTTTTACGCTTTTGTTGAAGATTTTCCGCTCTGCCTTCCAGCGAGTCGTGTTTCCCCAGCAACGAGCAATGTTCGTCCCAGAGTTGCCAGCGACACCAGCATCAGCCACCAGTTGGGGAGGGTTGCCCCACCCCCACGTCCACCCCACCCCCTTAACTTCTAGTGCTCGCTGTGCAAGGACGCGTAAAAATGCAATTTCAACAAGTTTCACTTTGATGTGCACATTTCTTGAGCCCGAACGGGAACCCCACGAGAAAAAGGACCTTTCTAGGTCTAGAGCTTTCTCCCACCTTATGCTCCGAAATTTCCCTTTAAATTAAAAGTTAATGCAAAAGAAAATTATTTTTAATGAATAGAAAACAGCCCGAAAATCGCCACATTAATAAGGCAACCCTCGACCTTCTGCTCCTTTAACAGGGTGTTTTGGTGTCGATTTGCTTTATTGCTGAGTAAGGCGAGAAAACAAGAAAAGGAAAAAAAGGAAAGGTGTGAGAGATTTAAAACTGTGCCAATTAAATGCCGAACTCGACTCTGATTCACAGCAAAGGGATAAGCCCTGTCGAGGTGTCATTTGGAGAGGAGCAGAGAGGCTAGCGACTAGGTCGACAGTCAGGATGATAATTTCAGAAAATGCACGTTGCACTCCTTCAAAGCGGCTGCCAGCTAATGACACTAATTATCCTCTTAATCTTTTATGCAAATTGTGTGCTGCCATTGTCAAAGCCGACCCAGACTCGGTCCTCCACCCTCAGTCTCGCCCACCAAAGCCTTCCTCTCCGGTTCCACCTCCTGCTCTGGCAGCGGGCGTCTGCGGTTGCAGCGTCACGTGTGTGTGGCGAAGCCATTCAGACAATCGCAGGTATTATAATTATGCTAGAGAGACAAGCGGCAGGGGGACACGAGGAAACTTACTGGGACAAGGCAGACTCCTGAACGAGCCAAAACTTTCCCAGGCGACGGCAAAGTTGGCGCTGTGCAAGGCGCGTGATATGAAAGACGGCCAAAGTTCGACGGAGCAGGACTTGGGACCGTAGTCAACCTGCGTGTCCTCCTTATCTCCAGGAACACCGTGCTTAGATGCAGAACGAAAACGAACTCACGGAAATTAAAGATGCTTTCAGCTTGTGGCTTAAATTCGCCAAAGAGGCCAATCGAAAAGTTGAAAGTCTCTTTGAGAGTGAATCACATCCGTTTTCAATCAGAACTGAATTAATTAAGCCTGACACAAGTGCATTCCCTCTCCCTCTCCCATTCTCTCTCCCAATCCCATTGCGGTTACAAGTCCTCACTTCTACCTCTTGGGGCACCTTTTGTCATTGTTGTCCTACAACGAACTCGGGCTGAGTGACATTGTCCTTTTCGTGTGTTTGTGCATATTTAATGTGAGTCACTTTGAGGTTATGTTTGTGTTTTTTGTTTAGTCTGCGTCGCATTCCCCTAAATGGATGAATAACGAGGTAGCTGCAGCTCCTCTTCTCTCATGTCATCCCGCGGCAGGGAACTCTGCAGTTTGTCAGCGGAAAGCGGGAAACGTAAAAGGAAAGTAGCACAGTTTAAGTAGCCTGGGGGAGCCGCAGAGTCAGCAGGGTGCATAATAATTTCGAATTCAAAAACAAAATGAAACTGTAAAGGAAAACGGCGTAAGAATTGGGGAAGTTCTTAGACAAGTCATGAATAGAAGGAAGCTAACGAAAAATGATTTCTTGTGCTCTCTTGTTCTGTAATTGGATTTGAAATTGTTTTAAGAATCGCGCAAGCGCCTTTTCTTCTATCCTAACTGCACGCACAATCACATACGCGCTTCTCGCTTCTGCCTCCACCGGAAACACAACATTCTACATCCGGCACAGACGCACAGTGAAACAGCTGTAGGCAGGGAGGGTGGAGTGCAGGAAGGGAGAGAAGGACTGGCAGGCGAGTTGAGGAGAGTAAACAGCATTTGCGACTTTAAATGCAAAGCAAGGCCAAGACGTTTGCGGACGCGTCTTAGTCTGATCCCAAAGAGTAAATGATGCAACATAAAGCAACCCAGTAAGAGGCGGAGAAGGCAGGAGGGAGAGTCAGGCAGAGACAACAATGAAAGCGGATGAAGAAATTTAATTTCACGTCTTTTTAACTTGAACAGCTCGTCTTTCACTGTCAGCGGAGTGGGGGGGCAGGGGCTTAAGGCTCCCATGGTCGGGGTCAGAGATTAGGACGTTCGCGTAGCTAGTTAAAGTTACACAAAGCGAAGGATGATGTCTCTGCTGTCTCGTCTCAAATCGAGTTAGACATCACTTGACACCTTTTAATATTTGGTCTCACCCCATTCGAGTCCCGCTGCTCCCCCCGGGCGCCTGTCGGGCGACATTCGAGTCAACCCGAGAGCGAGAACCAATTGACGTCCCGTGCATTGTCGCCTGCTGGTGACGGATTCGATTTCGATTATTATTGTGTCTTGGGTTTTGTTTACCGAGCTTGGCTCACCCGCTGCAAAACCCGCTGCCACCCTCTGTTGTTGAGTTGTCGAGGAAATCAATTTCCGTTGAAGCTCAAAGGTAGATACAGTTGGAGGGGGAAAAGAGAGTCATCAACTGCGGGGAAAATAAACACAGCATGCACAAAGTTTGCACAGCAGTAGAAACTCCAAAGAAGGGACACCAAGGGAAAGGTGTAACAAAGCAAATTGTGAAATAAACTTTCTCTTTATGCCTGCAATGCATCCGCCACCCAATCTCATCCTCCATCTATTCGCGTTCGCAGGGCTGGAGGCGGATTTGTTCTACGTGCACGAGGGAGCCATTAACACATACGCGATGCACTTCACCGTTCCCGTCCCGGCAGATGTGCACGAGCTGGAATTCTCCTGGCAGAGTCTCATTGCTTATCCGGTAAGCCACCCAACCCTTTCCCCTTTCCATTTAGTTCACTTCAAATTTGATTTGCACTCCATTAACTGGCTATCCCACTGGTAGCTGCGCTACACAATCAGCATCGAATATGCCAACGACCAGGACGCACTGGGTACACCCACGCTGAGCATTCCACACAAGGGTCTGGTGCCGCAGGAGATCGAGTCCTTCCTGGTCTACCTGCCCTGCACTGGCAACGCCAGCCTTCAACTGCCGGTCAATGTCAACATGGTAGTGCAGGGACCTCCCCGCTTCAACGACACCCGGCTCCACTTCAAGCGCAACAAGATCTGTGCCAAGGGTAAGTAACCATTCCCTCCAATTTTCGACTGTCATTCGCATATTGTCCGTTCCCGTTCCAATTGCAGGCATCTCACCTGAACCAAATCAGTCGCCGGCCCCAGCCCACGCCCCTTCCCAGGGACCGGCTCTGATGAGTGCTGCTGCCTGCGCTCTGGGCCTGGTCTTAGCCGTAGGCCTCGTGGCTAGCATGATGTATGTGCGGGCTCGCAAGCAGCTGCGCCAGGACTCGCTACAGTAAGTCCTATTGATTGGTCCATCAATTCAATTAGCTTCCTTACATTGACCCTCTCATTTGTTACATTCCCTTCCCATTCCATTAGCACCAGCTTCACCACAGCGGGTTATGGCAGTCATCAGAATGTGTTCATTCGCCTTGATCCTTTAGGTCGACCGCCGAGTGCCACCGGATCCTACGCGACCATCGCCAGCCTCAACAAATATCCAGCGGAGACCAAAAAGTCCTGCAGCATATTCGACCGTAAGTTATCCGTCCTCTTCCTAGTCCCATTGCTTACTTATCGATTCCCAAACTATTTTTTCCCTACAGGGTTCCGCAGCTCGCCCACACCCACACCCTACGCCACCGCCCTGCTGCCAATGGGAGACCAGGGTGGAGAAACCATTTACTCAAAGCCAGAATCAGTCTGTCCCTCAAGAATATCCTACTACGCCTCCTCCCAGCTAACTCAGGTGAGTTCCAATTGCTCTGATTTTGTGGTCACACGATTTTCCTCCTGGGGGTTGATTGCAGCAGGCAACTGCCCTCAGGTAAACCAATGCCTTTGATATGTTGTGACACGTGCCATGCGCCAGGCACAAATGGAAATGAATCCCGTTGAAGTTCAGCCTGCAATGGGTCGGTCGGTTGCCTAGGCCACCAGAACCAGTCTGTTGCCAATCTGCAGCACTCACCAGACCAGACGATTGCTCCCAAGGCTGTAGCCACATCCCAAGCCATCGAATGCCCAGCTCGAGCCACCTTTCCACGGCGATAAAAATTAAATTCTAATTTATATTTACGAGCTGATAAAGCTCCCGAAGTGCGTTAAACTCGAAACAAGAGCCATTCATAAATATGCGACCCTCCTTGCCGCGCGCCAGGGTGCCAGCCAGTTTGCCAGGGTGCCAGCCAGCCCTGTTCCATATTCCAAGGGGTTTCTGTGGGTTGGGGCAAGTTGTGCCCGGCGCTCACGTACCACGTGTTGCGACCCACAAACCCACTGCCAGCAGAGTTGAATGACGGAGATACGCGTTCTTATATGTGAGTAGATAGGAAAGAGGGCATGGGGTAAGCGTGTGAGTCTGTTTAGATAAGCGGATGGAGCTTCACAGTCGCAGACAAACAGGCAAACACAGAAAGGAAAGCTTATACTCTGTTTACGCGACCGTTTGCTTTCCTTCCAGTTGGGAAACTAAATTTAAACTAACTAGAAGCCACAAATGAAGCCCTAAGAGGCAGCTGTTAAACCTTGAGACTTGTCTGTACGAATCCCAAATTAATTTAAAGATACCCTACAAAACTTTTTTCACATTTGTCCCTCTCTGGCATCCCTCCCCGTTCTCTGGAAATCCCTCTGACACTTTAACTTCTTGGCCTTGGCAAATCTGTCGCAAATTACAATAAATTATTTAGCAGCTTTTTTTCTCGTCTTTCTAGCTGTAACATTTCACAGACCCAAGCGGCGTCAACGTTCACATTTTTCCTAGACAACAGAGTCTGCCATCTCCTCTCGCTATCTTTCCTCCGCTCTGTCGCCATTCTCGTGATTGCTTGGGCCATTTTCGTCACCATCTTCAAACGCAATTTCCATCGACGCATAATTAAATATTCAATTTCCATGGAGACTCCTTTGGATTTTTATTTGCTGCATATTCCTTAACATTTCTTAAAGTGCTTCCGTACTTTGTCCTGGCATATTCTGTTTGCCCAAACGATTTCTGTTTGTTTAGACTTCAATTTCGTCCTCATTATGGCAACCGTTTCGAGCCATTTGACGGGGGCTTCCGCGGAGCAGCTACAGTCATGACTCGTTCAAGGCACTCACATGGATTCTCATAGATATCAGGAATATCTGGATGTCTGGAATAATGCACAATGCCAAGAGTCGTATCCATTTGCTGCTGTCTACTGATAGGACTCACTCTCAGAGGGGGCGATGCAGAGTTAAATGAATTTCAACAAAAGTTGAGCCCCAAATAGCATATGCCTCTGTCTGAAGAGCGGAGGCAGTTCAGGGAAGGGGTGTTTGCCATAATTATTGCTGTTCTCTTGGTATAGTCAGTAGCCACTCTCCTGTTACACACTCGTATGAGTATTTGTGAGCGTTAAGCGAAGTGAAGCACTAAGCAAAGGGAATTTAAGGAAGCCGGGGGCGGGCAGCGGGGCGACGCACTCATTTAGTCAAACAATTATATCCAAGTGCACACACTGAAATGTTGTCGGCCCTGATCTGCTCACTTGTGTGGAAATATCTCATTTGTGTGGGGCTCCTTGCCCCAATCCTTCGCCGCACTCCACCCTCCTGTCTAGTCGCTCTCATTCCAACCACTCCTTTTTGATTCTATTAAATCAGTCTATAAATGTTGGCCAAATTGCTTTAATGTGCAGCGAAAGTTTAGCTAACGGCTGTGGGGACTACAACAATTACAGCACAAGTGGAAGGGACGCGGTGAGGGAAAGGGCAGGGGAGAGGCCTGAAGAGTGGGGTAAATAACAATAAAAACAGCAGCGAGCAGAAGCCAGACTACAGCTGTTGAAACATGACTTTGTGCTTGTTTAGAAACACTTGCAAAATATTATTGCAAGAGGATGAATGGGGGGAACCACTAACTGCGGGGAGTCAGAATGGGAGCCAGTTCCTAGGCCAGCTACACGCCATGTGCAGCGCCAAAGCGAAGCAAACATAGAAAGGCATTAGGATATTGGATCAGAAGTAAGCTCGCGTAGACTCGGGATGGGACGTAAGTGGCTGCTGCGGTTGAAGATGTCGAGCAAGTACATGGAGGGAATGGGTTAGAAGGCGACACAGCAGCCACCTCCAGCCCCACGCTACGCAACGCATTCGAATGTCATCATTTGAGGGCAAACTTGGAGAAGTGCGTGAGCCAGCGAAGCGAAGGAAAATAGGCAGAGATGGGAAGAGATGGGGAGGAGCATAGACAGCGCAAAGTTGGAAATTAATTTGCATGGAGCACGCCCAGACTAGAGTGTTTTATGGAGATTACGAGAGAGGTTCGTGCAACCCGAACAGGTGCTAATTAAAAATGTTGTCGTCGCCTCATTAAAGAAATTTGTAAATCAACCTGCAAATGACGCGCGCAGCATGCGAAAAGTTAAGCCTAGGCCCAAGCAAAGTGAAGGGGACTAGGAGGGGTGAGTAACCCGACAACTGTCCCCCTTTTGGAGCAAGCGGAGGAACTGTGGTGCGGCACGTACGCCGTTAATGGATTTTCCACTGTTGTTCTTTTGATTAAAACGCATTATTTACATTTGCGACAAAGCCAAAAGAGGGGTGGAGAGGACATTTTAATGTGCGACGGGGCTTAAGTCTGGTCAGGTGAGGGGCGTGGCGCAGCTGGGGGTCGACTCGCCCTCGGCAAAGGTTGACAAATTGCACAGCTGAAAGTTGATTTAAGCTCAGTTTTTGCATTTCTTTGCACTCGAATTTCGTTGGTTTTTTCGCTCTCTAGTATTCCTTCGGTCCTTCCAGACCTAGTACAGGCTCTGTTCATCGAGTGCCAAACTATAACGGATGCTTTTGTCTGCCATTACACTATTGATTGCTTCCTGTCAGCCGCAGAGAGGCAAACGGAAGGCGTCAGCGGATGTTGCCTTGGTTGCCTGTTGCCTGTTGCCTGTTGCCCAGTTAGCCGGTTACCCGGCGAGCCCGACCGACGCGGAGTGAGAGTTTCGCTGTCTGACATGGAACATGGGCTTTATGTGGGATTTGGTCAGCTGCAGACTGTGGCAGAGGCTTTTGTGGTTTTCACACCACCCACTTGACCAGAGACTGGCTTGCAATGCGATAAGATGGATGCGTGCTTGTTGCTCTCCGCTGATTTCATTGCGGTCAGTTTGCGTTGTTTACCTGAGGCATTGATCACAGAGCGAGACAGACACCAGATAGAGAAGAAAAAGAGAGAGAGAGAGAGAGAGAGTTGGAATGGACAGCAGAACAGAAGAAATTTTAAGCGCAAAGGAATTGGTCAGACTTTGGAGAGCATAATGTCCATCTGACACCTGTTGTCGAAGTCTTAAGCTCTATGGCTGGCAATTAATCTTATAAAACTTTCGACTGCAATATTGTTATGAAAATTAGTAAAGCACATTTCTAATTTGAATCTTTTCAATCATTTTTAAACTACACTTTATGCATTTGCTTAGAGCAGGACGCGCACAGAGCCTCTTTTAGGCCAGTTAAGCTTGTTCCTTTCCAACTTATTCGACAATTGAAGTTCCCTTTAAGTCAACTCCACTGCCAATTATTCTCTCGGGTCCTTCATTCAGCTTGTAATCCGCTTAGCCTAGTTCTATGTAGCATAACTCACTTTTGACTGGAAGTGGGTTATGGTAAATAGAGTTTTAAAATATATAAAACACATTTATGAGTTTTTTTATTCAAGGTGTTCAGTTTAGATTGGGTTTTGTGGAAAGTAATCGATGATTTCGCAATAAATCTAGAGCGTCTCTTTTTTTTTAATATTTTAATTAGTAAAAACCTTTTACACTTTGCCAGCCACAATTGAATACCAATTGGCAGGCACTCGCTGATGGGCGTGTCCAGGGGCACGCGATGCCTAATTGAAAGGCAATTACCTCTAATTAGGCGTGTGTCAGTGTGTATGTGCGTATGTGTGTGTGTGAGTGTGTGCGAGTCGTTGTTTGTGTGTGTAGGCGGCAAAGTGGGTTAAGTAGGCGGCACTTTTAATTAGGACCCGTGGCTTTTGGGCCTTTAATTATGCATTAGATGCTTAAGACCACAACAAAAGGCGCCCAAAAAGTTGCCAAACTGTTATTAAATGCTCAAATGCTCGGAGAAAGTAGAAAATGGGGCGAGCTCTAACGACACAGCAGCAACTCATCAAATTGCCATGCATCAAATCGATCAGGCATAAATCAAACGAAAATTCAAATTAGTTTCCCAGCCAATTAGAAGGTTCTCTCTTTCCCTCTCTCTCTCTCCCTCTGTACCCTAAATGCCAAATGGGAAATTAATGAGAGCTTACCTCCGTAAGAAAAAACTTAGAATTCCCCCAACCTTGATTAAAGGCTCGACTCCAGAGAGTCGAAGAAAATAGAAAATGGAAAATGGAAAATGTGGCATGCGAATGGAAAAGGGCAGGCAGTCAGGTAAATTGAAATATAATTGAGCTGCGAGCTAAGACTCTTTGGCCTGGGCACAAACTCAACTTTTGTCAACTGACTAATTTCAGTTCATTAAGATGCCGCTCGCCTCGAAATGCCAAGGTGATGGCTCGTATACGTAATATCCGCCCGCCAATGTTGCTGCTGTCAACGTTGCCTGCGGCAATCGTGTGTAGCTGCATTAGCAACAGCTTAGAACAATTTGAACAAGAATGCACAGTGTGCACAGTAGGATGGGAAGTTGCCTGAGAGTTGCCCAGGGTTTTAGCTTAACCGACATTTAAACGATTCGCAAGCGTTTCGATGTGCTGTAAGCTCAATTTGAAGTTTTTGAAGGTTAGATGAGCTATTTTTATAAAAGATAATCCGTTCTTAATGTAACAGAAACATTAAATCTGATTTGTTGGCGCTAGCTTGAAAGAACTATTGTTATTGAGGGTTTTCTGAAGTACAACTTTAAATAAAATTAAAATTGAGTAATTAAAATTTTCTTACCTTTTCTGCACATGTGTGTGCCACTGTGCTTATCTGAAATGGCGCTGAAATTGTTGTAGCTGCTGTCGCTATTGTTGTAGCTGATGAAGTGCTTGTTGTTGTTGCTTTTTGTTGGTTGTTGCTTGTTGTTGTCGGTTGCTGCCTTCGAAAGTTTGTGCTGCATTTTGGTTGCTGGCAAAAACGCTGCCAGGCGAGGAAATGCACACGAAATGTTGGCAAAATTGTCATCAAGCGTTTTTAATTACGAGCCAGTTGCGAGGGGCAGGACAACTCAACGCTGTGGTTGTGCGGGGTGTGTGCTGTGTGTGTGTGTGTGTGTGTGTGTGTGTGTGTGTGTGTTGCGTGTGTTGCGTGTGTGTGGGCAGCCGTAGAGCTGCAAGTGACATAAACAAATCAGACGCCTGTCAAGTGTGCGAGAGCCAAAATTTCTGTGTCTACGTGAGTGTGTGTGTGAGTGTGTGGGTGTGTTTGGGTGTATGCTTGTGTGTGTGCATGTCATTTGCAGACCAGCAGCTACACAGCCTGAACCAGCCCCTGCTTTCATGCTGCCTTGTGCCTGCCGTGTTGTGTTGTCATTAGAAATGTCACAACAAAGCCAAACAGCTGCAAACCAAACGTCAACATTGCCAACGCTTTCAGCCACATTGTCGTTATTGTTGTTGTTGTTGTTGGTGCTGCTGCTGCTGCTGTTGCTGTTTTTGGTTATATGTTGCCAAGTGTCGCCTCTGTTGGCAACAACAACGCCCCACAGCCTCTCTCTCTCTCTCTCTTTCTCTCCCTCTCTGTCTCCCTCTCTCTATTGCTTTGACACCCGAGCCACCCTGCCGCATCAAGTTTAAATTTGTGCAAATTTATACTAACAAGCAGCTGCCCACACCCTTCCTCCTCTATCTATCTATGGCCATGCTGTCAGCCATTTGGTGACTACTTTTCCTCTTCTCCCCAGTCCCCTAATCCTCCCCTCTCCAGAGCTTGTCTCATCTGAGTGTCAATGCAAAGCGAGATGAGAACTGCGAATAGTCAAACAGTTGACGGCAACGGATGTTTTCCAATTTTCAGTTTAAGCAATAAGAATCCACAAGAACAACCAGAACAACTGCAGCTACAACAACGACAACAACAACAACAACGACAACAAAAACAGCAGTAAAAGCCATTGCAATATTGTCTATTTGACATGCACTTTTAATATTCCTCACAGAAATAGCTTGGCTTTGAGCAGAGGGCGTAGTTGCACAGCATTCGGAGCTGTTGCAGGTGCTGCTGCGAAAGGAATACGCAGAAATAGCAGAGCTCGAAGCACTCAATTGATATGAAGAGTCAGAAATCGTATCACAGACTCAGCTTAAATCCTGTCCTGTCAAATGTGCTCCAATAATAGAAGAACTAGTTCCAATTGCAAAGCACTTTCAAGTTTTTCTTAGAATTCTCAATCAGTTTAAGCTATAAATTGCACAGAGAATTCGCCTTGATTGTTGATAGGGGGCTAAGATATTATATTTTCCGCGATTCAAGCTGGAATTTCTGTTCTTTTTCTAACAGCGTTGTGCAGCACTGCGATTAAAGCTAAGCCGATTACATCAAATCTAATTGCACTTGACCTGCACTCATTAGAGGGCAGCTCTGCTCTCTCTGCTAATGCAAAAAAAGCAATAAACATACAAATTGATATATATGTTATATATAAATTGTGCTTGTTTCTACAACGAGGACAACGATAGGAAGTGGCTTCCCTTTGCCTCAGTTAGGGTCATAAAAGCGACGCCGGTGCAGCCCGCAGACACTTTTGTACTGCCTGTCGGTGACATTGTTGTTGTCACCCCCCCCCCTCCCCCCCACCCCTCCCTTCCGCAACCACTTTTCTCTTCTCTGACTAGCATTGTGTGCAGAGCGCTTTGCATGTCGTTGGACCAGTTGGGCGACAAGGATTTATCGCCAGCGTCGCAGTCACGAGCTGCCGCTGACGAGAGGGGACGAGCACGCGTTGATGAGCTCGGCCAAAGCCAGCTGGAGCAGCTGGAGCAGGACATGCAGTAGCAGTGCCAGCAGCAGCAGCAGTATCTAGCAGTATCTAGAGTCGGAGCTTTGATGATGGAGTGCGATACTGTTGCGTTTTAATTGAATTTTCTTTGTGCGACAGCAACAACAACAAGAAGCAGAAACAAATAAAATAAAGGACAACAGCGCACAAAGGAGCGCGAGGCAGACGCAGGAACAGGACGACAACTGTCTGAGCAAAGTGGCAATAAAGGCAATAATGAATGAAATTCACTAACAAAAGGCAAACAACTATTGTTTTTATTGCTGTCAATGTTGCCAGCCGCTCGTTTGTTGTCCCTCCTTGTCCCCTTGTGTGTGCCTGTGTCGCAATTGTCCTCCGCTCAGACATTGTTATAGACCACATATTATGTCGCGCTTACGCCTCGAATAAAGCTGTAACTTTTAATAAACGAAATTATTGGACTCAGTCTCAGGTGGCGGTTGCTCTGCTCTGCTCGAACATTTATGTAAATTTCCACACCAAATTAAGAAAGAAATGAAGAGATTTTTCTTGAGTTTATTAGACCAGTGCATTGAGAATCCCTGCTCCTCGCAGCCATCCCGCCGGGCAAATGATTTTCGCTGTGTGAATTTTATGAAAATAAATGAGCTGCTAGCCGCGGCTAAGGAGCTGCTGCCTCTCTCTATATCTTGTTCATATATCTTGAGTGCCTTTCGGGCCCCTACCAGCCCATTTCCGCGCATCTCTGCAAGCCCCTGCTCCGGAAAAGACGTTGTTTATACAACTCAGCTCGCAATTTCCTACAGCTGCGCCCTCCATGCTTCCCACTGTTGCTGTTGCTGCTTTTTGTTGGTCTAGGGCTTGGCTTCTGCTTCGCTCCTGCCACCGCTCCCACCCCCCTCTTCCTGTCTCGCCCTACTGGCTCCTGGCACAAGGCTATGCAAACATAATGCTCGACGAATTAAAGCTTTTTGCCAACCAATAAATTATTCATGCCGTAAGACAACTACGGCTGTCCTGGCGGATACAGCTCTAGCCCCAACACCCAGCCAGCTCCTCCCGCTCTGCCTCACAGCCTGACCCACCTCCCCATGGGCCACACTCCCTACTTTATGTACAAATTATGGCGCAGGCGGCAGGCGGCAGGCGGCAGGCAGCAGGCGTTTGACGGCGTTGGCAACACCAACTGCCAGCCAGTTGGCAACATCAGCAGTTCCTTCAAGCGGAAACGGAACTCAATTCATTAAAATGAATGAACGAAGCGCAGCCAAGTGCATGACTAACGGTAAACGGATGCAAAATGAAAGATGCAAATCCGGTTGATGAAATTGCGTTTTCATTGCCCCCTTTTTTGCAACATTTTCACAGCCGTAAGGCCCCACACTCATAAAACCCCATCTCCTGCTGCCTAAAACTCATCAAATGTTTATCCCTAAAAAGAGTTTCGTTTTAGATGATAATACTTCCGGCATTGCAGAGGTTAACGACTATGTAGGATATGTAAAGTCTAAACGTATGTGTTTTTTTCTTTTAAGTAAAAGATCTCTACAAAAGCTCAAGGAATCTTGCCTCTATTGAATTTTTAATAAAATAAGGGTTTCTGTAGAATTATTCTGCATTACGTCTGACCCAACATATGTTTAGGCATTCGCTGACAAGAAATCCTCTTCTATATTCCTTTCCATTCATCTACCAGGCCTGCAGCATGTCCACTCCGAAGAGCAGCCGTGGCAATGGCAGCGGCAGTCTCTTCGGCGGCATTGCCACCGGCAGCACCATCACCGTGGCCAGTCACGGACATGGCGACAAGACCAAGGAGCGTCTGCGTCGCATACCGAGCGTGCAGCCTGGTGCTTTGAGCTATGAACAGCTCATTAAGGAGGGCACCTTTGGTCGCATCTATGCGGGCAAGCTGGGGGAGACTTGCGATGCGCTGGTCAAGACGGTCATCGATGGCGCCTCGCTGACGCAGGTGGCCTGCCTGCTGCAGGACGCCTCGCTGCTGATCGGCGTCAGCCATCAGCACATATTGGCGCCTTTGCTGGCCAACACGGAGCTGCCCGGCCCGCCGGAGATTGCATACCCCTATCCGTCCAAGGGCAATCTAAAGATGTAAGTTTCTCGCTCCTCTCCAGCCCCAGGAGAATCATGCTCCTTCATGTACTCTGCAGGTACTTGCAAAAGTCACGGGAATCCAGCACTGCGTTGAGCACCCGCCAGCTGGTGGAGTTTGGACTCCATATAACCAAGGCGCTGGCCTATCTGCACTCGCTGGGCATCGTGCACAAGGATTTGGCCACACGCAATTGCTAGTAAGTATGGGATTGGATGGGGCCGAGAGCGTCAATGTAACCTCTTGCATCTGCTTGCAGCGTGGACGAGGAGGCGTATGTGAAGATTTGCGACAGCGCGCTCTCGCGGGATCTCTTCCCAGATGACTATGACTGTCTGGGCGATAATGAGAATCGTCCGCTCAAATGGCTGTCGCTGGAGTCGCTGCAAAAGAAGGTCTATACCACGCAGGGCGATGTCTGGTCTCTGGGCGTACTCTACTGGGAGCTGGTCACACTAGCCCAGATGCCGCACGAGGAGGTGGACATATTTGAGCTTACCAATTACTTGGCTGCCGGCTATCGTCTGGAGCAGCCCGTAAATTGCCCGGATGAATTGTAAGTAGCTATTAACTCTAGTTTCCAAAACCGATCAAAACCTTCAACCCCAAATCCCCCCACCGTCACCTTCGCTCCACCTGTGTAGCTTTACGGTCATGAACTGTTGCTGGCACTGTGAGCCCAAACAGCGTCCGACACCCGCCCAGCTGTTGTCCTATCTGCAAGACTTTCACGTCGATCTGGGCATGTATATCTAAGGATCCTGATGATGACTGGCTGATAGGCCTGCGAGCTAAGCATTCAGCGCGTGAAAAACTTATTGTATAACTAGATGCATGCACACGAGTTGCGTAAGATAAATTAATTGAATACTTTTGCATTTTAAATGTGAGAATTGAATGTGAATTACCTGTTACCAATTTCTCTGGCGTCTGTGTGTAACCAATTGAACGTACGTATATGTGTATATAGTATATAGCAATTTATTGTCTAAGTAAATATTAAGGCGTTTAAGTGTCACAGAAACCAATTAACTCGACAACAGTTGCAGACAATTGCACTTCAAAGCACAACAATGCAAACAGAGGCAATTTGTTGCATTTGCATGTGTTCCTAGAAACGTAAACTGCCAGAAATCGCAAACAATAACTGCCGTAATTCTTAGTAAAGCACATTGCAAAGGATGTGTTAACAAGTTCAATAATGGAAACAGTTGACTTATCACCAAAATCTAATTATAAAACAGCTGAATTTCAATTAAGAGGAGTAAATGTTACATACTCTGTTGTAACTGAGCCGAATGCGTATTCTGGAATGCATTACAGTAAGTACAGTTGAGCATTTAAGTAGCTAGAAATTAAATACACATGCTTATATAGTATATGTATACACTTCAGATTGCGAAATGCAAATTGAGTATTGAGAATGCATATTTTATTGAATGTGCATAAGAAAAGAGCAAGAGAACACAAAGATAGAAAGAGAGAGAGGAAGAGAGAGAGAGAGAGAGGGGAAGCGAATAGAAAGTTGAATGTGCGACAACAAAATACGGAATCTTTTGTTCTCAAATGTTGTCCTCAATTGTTATCAAACGATATATTTATTTATTGATTTACCAACGAGCATTTAAATATTATTATATTACATATTATTATCAAATATTTGTAAGGAAAATTCTCGACTGATTGCGAGTCAAAGTGAGGCACAGCGGCAGCTGAAGTTCAAATTAGAATCAGAATCAGAATCAGGTGAAACAACAGACACTGTAAAGCAATTGTTAAACGCATAAGTCACACAAAATCAAATCAATTGCCAATGTCATAAGCAAAAGCAATAGGTTCAAGCTAAATTCCACAAGAGACTCAAAGCACCAAGCTACACTAAAACTCAAATCAAACCAAATGGCACACACACTCACACCCACACACACACATACACAACCAATGTACACACTCGCACACAGCAAGCTTCACGCTAATTTTGTTATTAAACTGACAACTGCTTCAGCTAACTTAGTCCGTCTCAAGTTTTAATGTGCACATGTGAGCTACAGTTGTTACCAAGAGCAACTATTTAACAGAGGAATATAGAGGGAATTAGGCAATACAAGCTCACTTAAAGCTCACTTAAAGCTTTCGTGTGCTTTAAGAGTTGCTTATATAGAACGCGTATTAGCTGGTTGACAGCCAAGCACCAATGAGTTTTGAGCTTGATAAATCGATTTAAGCTCACTTAAAGCTTTATCGAGCTTTAAAAGCTGTTTATGTAGAAAGCGCTCCAAACAGCGCGGAGCTTTAAGATTGAAAAATTGATTAAAGTTAACTTAAAGCTATTGTGTGCTTTAAAAGCTGCCCACAGAGCAAGCGCTCGTCGAAACAGTTACGCAGCGAGGAGCTTTGAGCTTGATTAATTTTTGTATTGTTGAACGTGATTTCAAAGCTCTTTTCTAACAACAAAATAGCAATTTTTCACGATATTTATTTTCACTTTTTGTAGCTTTCTATTATGTTTTCGACTGCTCGTCCTTTTACCTGCCTAGATTAAGATATTATTGTTGTTGTTTCTGCTTTAGTTTTAGTTTGAATTGCGCTACATTGTGTCTGTTTCTGTTTCTATTTATGTTATTTTTTGCATTTCTGTTAGCAAAGACAACTGAAAGTTGTTCAAAAACCATGCAAACAAAAAATTTAAAACTTAAAATCCAACCATAAAAGAAATAACAACAGCAAGTGTTGTTGTAAATGTTGAAAGTGCAATAAAATGAACGCACAAAAAAGTGCTAAACAAAAAAGATACAGAATATATCGTAAAGCCAAATAGAATCGAAAATACAAATAAGAAATTCACTTTTAAACACTAACAGCTGCTTTTTAACTCTAGCTACGTAAGCTCTATCACAATATGTTTTAACTTTTAAGCACAGACTAGCTGAGAAAAAGATCAAATATTACACTGCCAGCTCAAGCTCAAGAATTTTACTTTGCACTCAATGAAAAAACTGATCAATGAATATGAATGTTACTACTACTTAATACGAGTACTCACTAAAAGCTAAACTGACTTTAAGAAACGAAAACGAAAAAAAAAAGAATGAAATCTAGTAAATAATTCTCTGATTCTGATCTCTCAACTCTATAATGTAGTATATACTATGTGAAGCTGCTTGGCAGATGCAAAAAAACAAAAACAAACAAATATAATACTGAAATTCCAAAAACCCTCAACTAAGTGTATAACAGTTTTAAATAGTTAATAATAATTGACACACACAACCACACACACACAGCACACATACTCACTCACTTAAAACTATAACTAACTGAATGTGTTTCATATATATATTTATATAAAATACTCTAACTCCTGAATGTATGTATGTATTAATGTATGTACCATGTTTGTATGTATATTTTGTCATCAAATTGAACAACTAGAAAGTAAATTCGCAAAAACAAATAGCTAGCAATATCCCCAAGGGATATTTTTGCTACTCTTCAAATACGAAATACAACAGCCAAACAGCAAAAGGATACGACGACTAATACATGCATCAACTAGGTTTTCTCTATGTATTTTTAAGAAAACAACACACACACACACACACACATAAGCACACTCACTGCTGGAGCAATGAAAGCAAAACACAACCTCTAAATATTATCAACATTCAGATTCTGAACGTCTCTCACTCTTAAACACTGCCCAATTTTTATATAGATGTATTCTCTGTCTCTGTCTAACTTAAGATATATGTGTACCCTAGTATACTACTATGTATGTGTATTGGATAAATATTTGCTAAACTAACCCACACTTACACATACACACTCCCGACCCACCCCACACACACACACATACACACGCACACACACACACTCACACAGCAAATGTAGCTTCATCTGTGCGACAGTTTTTGGGTTTTCTGGAAACTCTCCGACTCTGTGGGTGGTGGCAATTTAAAATAGCAAAAAGCAAAAGCAGAAATTCAATTTTTGCCCAAAAATCGAGGAAAACAACAGCAACAACAGCAACAAACTAAACGAACTAAAACAAAAAGCAAATTAAATAAATGTTCCTTTTGAATCATCAACAAAACACACAAAGCTCTATTTATTATTATTATCTCTCAATGGTTTCTACTCTAAGCAAGTAAGTATAACGTGTCCGAGTTGCAACAGTTGCAAGTTGCACGCAGTTGGCAGCTTGTTTTATGCTGTCCGTTCTTGTTGCCTCACTTGATTGGCTTGTCTTGGCTTATGCGTCGTATGCGTGATGTCCATGCTGCGGCACGTTCTTAGCTACCCAGCGGCAACACGACAGAAAAAAGATAATGGCAAGCCACAACAGTTTATGCTGAACAGAAGATGCATTGTGTTTCCAGAGAAAAAAACTCGCAACTTGCCTTCAACTCTAAATGCGGGTCTTAAACCAAATAACAACTGAAAACTTGCTTTCTTCATTCAGTGCCTTTGGCATGCTTAAAGATAGTTATGTTCCACGTTCTATAGCATGTGTGACAGCAATAGCTGATGTCTTCCTTGCTGTAAGCAGTGCGTTTGGCATGCTTAGAAATATAAATGTCTGCTGGGAACGTAGACTCCAGTAGACTTAGTGTGACAGCAATAGCTGAATTCTTCCCTTCTGTAAGCATTGCCTCTGGCATGCCTAGCGATAGATTTCTACTGATTCCAACTTAGACTTAAACGTTACACAATGTTTTAACTGTGCGTTAAACAGCTACTGAAATCTCCCCTTCTCTAAGTGGTGCATTTGGCATGTGTAGGGCCCCAAACTACTTAGTTTCGTTTACTTAAGTCAAATACAGCTGCGCCTTAAACCTCACACACAGTCTCACTCAGACACACGCCCGCCGGAATATATTTGCCGTGCGTGTCAAATGCTGAACTCTGCGCATTTGCAGTGCCCTCCCCCTCCCCCTCCCATTCAGCCCTCTCTCCAACCCCTCTTTAGCTGCGCTCTAATTACAAAATCAGTGTCAGTTCTGCTTTTTGTTTTTTGTTCAGCACTTTTGTTATTTTTTGTGTTTTTCCTTTTTGTTTTTCTGCCAGTCCGAGAGGACATTCGCTTTTCGTTTTCATAACGGCAGCACTTTGTTGAGTGGCAAGTGGCAAGCGGCAAGTGGCAAATGGCAAGTGGCAAAAATAAAAAGTGCCATGTTGTGTATTCGCCCCGCTGAGCTGGCAAAAACTGGAACAACGCACAGTTGACCAAAGGGCTTTTCGGGTGCTGCCAAACTTGTTTGTTTGTTGTGCGTGCCCCACACATGCTTTCCCCCTCCCCCCTGCCACGCCCAGCCAATTGGAGCCGTGCTGCGCTACGCTGCCTGCTTAACGGGTTTTTATGCGCTCTCATAATTGTCGACACTAATGACGTGTATGTGCATTTGCAGCCATTTACAACACTTAACACTGGACCCCATTTGGGCATCCCGCAGCAATAAATGGATGAATAATGGCAAATAGAACGCATGTTTTATGCAAGTCGAACCAACTGGCTGGCACATCTGTTGCATAAATCAGGCTACAGAATGTATGACAACACATAGAAAAACTTTAAAGCGCATTCCATTATCCATACGCCCCTTGGCGCTGCAACCGATTAATATTTTAAAATGGTGGCCCAATTGAAATCGAATCAAATGCTTGCCAAAATTAAATTGTCAGCTACCGGAATTCATGAACATGAAGTGTAGCAAAACGATTTTAATTATTTAAGAACTGCTCGGATTTCGTAACTTTTAATGATTTGTGCATTTGACCAAAATCGTTTTCAATGTTCGACGCTCAATTAAAATGCACAAAATGAATGTTGACACGTGATAGGGGATTATTAAAAGCGCTTTAATCAAAATCAATAGAAAATAATTTAAAGTAAATTAGTTTTTATTGCTCATCAAAAAAAAAAAAAACAAAAACCGAAAAACAATTTATTTTTTTTCGTTGTTTTTTTGCATTGTTTTAAAATCGTAAAACTCAGCGAACAAATTCCATTTTGTAGCCGCATTTGGAGTTGGGCTTTTTTTGCACGCTTTCTCTCGGGTGCTTTAATTAAAATGACATATGCCTGAGTATGTGTGTGTGTGTGTGTGTGTGTGCATATATTTTTTAGTAAAACGTTGATTACACTCTGAAAAGCTCGCAACCACAAAATAAATACATTTCGATGCAATAAGAAAAAACAAAGCATAACAAGCAATATAGATTATTTTCGGATTGCGGCAGCTTAAATACCCTTACATAAATGCATGATAAAGGTCGAAGATCAGATACACTTCAGATACCAAAGGCGAGTATTATGCCATGTCCTCCCTTCACTTAATTGTAAATATGCCTCAATCATCCACAAATTCAGCTTTTCTTTCTATTGAGCACTTATGAGGCCTACTTGAAAGTTTCTTTCACAACAAAATGAACAATACCCTTGGCAAGGGTATTAAAATCCAATAGAGATTATGTTTCCTGCAATTTGAGACGGACAGACAGGCAGACAGGCGGACAGAGATGATATGCAGAGATGTGCATATATGTAGGTACAGTTCACGAGAGGGCAACTCGTTGGAACTGTGATATTATTATTACAGTTTCAGTTTCAGTTTCAGTTATTGCAATCGATTTTCCATTTGATTAAACGTAAATATTATAAAAATGAAGTAATATAATCCAAGCTAAGTTCTGTTTGGCAGATTTCGTGTGTGCATTATTATATATATATATAGAACTGGTTGAAAAGCGAACTTAGAGCCAGGGAGGGTGGAAGATTTCGACCTATGCCTATATAGAATATTTGAGAGGGCAATTTCCACATGGCTAAAATAATGTTGCCAGACTTAGAGGTCTAGAGGCCAAAGGTTAGACACCTAGAGCTCTATATGAGAAGCTAAACAAGGATCTTGCGTCTCTAAAACGAATATAGAAATATAGTTTTTGCCCGACATCAACTTAATTTTGCTACCCAGATCATGTCTGTAGACAATCGAATGTATTTAAGGAATAGACAATTTAGAAAGCTAAAATTTGATTTATATATGTAAGAAGTTGCCTTTGGTGAGAACTGGCTGGCAACTGTTTTGGGGGCTCTCGTTAATTGCAATTTTACGCCAATTTCGGAGTTCGCTTCGCGCAGAGCTAACAATAACGATAATTCAAGTTGAATCGAATGATAAAGGCGGCAATTAGAGCACAATAGACAGGGCCCAGACAAGCGGGTGGCAGCCAGATACAAATCGAGCCAAACTGCAGACGGCTTTGAAGAAAAAGCATTGCATAGTTTTGGGGTTGCAGCCAAATGAATCACTTGCAACAACAACAACAACAAAAGAGGAAGAGGAAGAGGGTAGCTATCTTGTCTGCGGTCAGCTGAATATTTGTTTATTTGTTATTGATAAAAACTGCTCAACTTTTGGCGCAAACAGTTTATAACTTTTGCAAGGTCGAAGTGAGGAATGAGAAAGCGGCGCTGGTAATTGGGGGCATGGCTAGGTGCGGGGTATACATATATACAAGATGTATTCGGCTTTCTATTGCTCCAAGCTAAGGTTGGATGACCGCCTGCAGTGTTACGATTTAATTAAAGCGCCATTAAGTTAGCAATTAACAACAACGACAACAACAACAACAACAACGAAGACGACGACAACAACAACGATAACAACAGCAGCTGCAACAACAATGGCCACGACTGTTGGTGGCAACTTCAAGCGGCTGCCCCTTTGAGCCTTCGCCTTTGGCTTTGGCTTTGGCTTTGCCTTTTGCTTGTGGCATTTTGCACTCCTGCTTCCTGTTATTTTTGTGCTTTGGCTTTGTTGTCGTTTGCCGTCGCATTAAGTTCCATTTTTTAGTGTTATTTTGTTAGCAGCAGCAACTAATTCTTGCCCCAGCGGCAGCAGCAGCAGCAAAACACATTAAAAACATAAAAAACACACGCTGCGCATGGGCGCGGGGTATGGGGAATGGTTGTTGCCCGACGCTTTTCTAATATTTGATTTTGTTTATAATACCCTGTGGGCAAAGTGCAGAAAGGGTATGCAGAAGTTGAGGTAATTATGCTTGGAAAAACTTCCGATCTCTCATTTATGCACTTATTGCGACTATCGATAAACGATAACTCAAGCTATCGAAGCAGACAGAGTCTCGGCCTCGAAAAGTCTGTGGCAAGCTTTAATAGCATACTTTTGAGCTGCAAACAACACTTTAACTGATTACGAGGTATTTAAGAGTTGCGCAACTTGTTTTTGCATGTTTTTTTTTTTTTTTGTTTCTGAACAGGCTGCAAGTTTTATTATGGGTACGTGTCTGGATGGCAGTTTGTGTGTGAGGGATGTTTTAGGGTTAAAGACTGGCCTGTCAGGGTTCGCCAGACGCCAGAGCCCAGACGAGGGGCGAGTGTGTGCTAGTGTGAGTGTGTGAGTGACTGGCGAATGAACTGAAACTGTCAAAAGTGCACATTCCGCACTTGACATTTTTCCAAAGCGCATTTTGAACTCTGCCCCGCTATGGGGTGTCTAAGGGGGGTGAGTTTCTCTCTTGGGGTGCGCTTCAATTGGCATTGAAAGCGCAAATGAAAGGGAAGCCTTTGCATGTTTAAGCTCAGCAATGGCACAGTCAGCGCCGGAATGCCAGTCAGAGCTCAGACATAGACATTTGCCGCTTGGTTTGAGGATGCAGGGTGAAGGGTTCAGGGTGCAGGGTGCCGGCTGCGGGGTGGCGGGTTCCGGGTTGCGGGTTGCCGGGTGAAACTGTGGCACGCGTTCACCGCCCTCTTGTCAAACAGTTAAAATAAAAAAAAAAAAGTAAAGAACGTGGCATAAACCCAGAAATTTGCTCGTACGTTTATTGCTTTTAAATTTGGCAATTGTCGAGTTGAGTTTAACATGCGTGTGTGTGTGTGTGTGTGTGTGTGTGTGCGGGGTGTGTGTGTGTGTGTGGGGTGTGTGTCGCAATGAGGGTACTTGCCAGCTGCAAATTGCTTATCAGGCAGCGCTTGCAGCAGTCAGTCGCGCCAGCCGCCCTTAATTTGCCCAATTTAAAAATGGAAATCGATTCCCTCGAGTGACGCCACACAATGCCACACACCCCCCCCCCCCCCCCACGCTCTGTCAAATGTGTCAATAAAATGTGATTAACAAGTTTTGCATAAAAATGCCGACAGTCGATTGCAATTGGGTTGCCTTACACCCCCCCCCCCTCCCCTCCCACCACCCCCTGCACGCTGTTCTGTTTTGGCCGCAGGCATTTTTCTTTTGTTCAAATCCCAAAGCATTTCCCCAGACTTTTCCTTGTTGCTGTTGTCGCTGGCAACCGTGGCAAATTATCCCTTTCATAAGTGACAAATATGTCTGTCGATCTGCAATTGGGAGCAGGCAGCAGTCCCTTCACCCCTGCCCCCCCCCCTCCCATCCTGTGCCTGTCCGCCCTTATCAGGCGCGTGCGTTGGGCTGCTGCAAGTAATGAGATTTGATTTGAAAGCAAGTGACTTGGGTTTTGTAATTTGCAATAAATATGCAGCCAACCAGGCCAAGAGTCATTGCGTCAGCAGCACAGATAAGAGCCCGGCATCGTCTTTGGGGGCGGGCGCGGGCAGTCGTGTGGCAGCCATAAAGCCCCAGGCAATACTCAGCCCAACTGCAGCTCAGATTATCTGCATATATAACTTCAACTTTAGATCTGCCATTCAGCTCAATTGGATGGGCAAACAACAGATACATTTGAAATATTTGTAATCAGCAATTTAATGAACCCACAAACTTTGAGCATAATTAAACAAATGCCACTCATAACGATGATAACCTCAGGCCAATTGTTGTTGCTTTACGTTTCTGGCCAAAATGCCTGGCAGCAAAATTGAATTCATGTGTCCGTGTGTGTGTGTGTGTGTGTGTGTGTGTGTGTGTGTGTGTGTGTGTGTGTGTGTGTGTGTGTTTGTATTCATTGTTTTGCCACTTTTGGCAAAAGCTGCAATCAATATGCAATTGTTTAAGTGCTATTAGCATGGATTTCATACAGAGCAAATAGTGTGAATGACCTTTGAGCCAAGACTTTTGATTATTTATTATTTCCTTTTGTAAATGGGTGATTAGCAGGTCTGTTGCCCGAAGAGCTTTGCTTTAAATTTAAATAAATGCAACATTTGACGCATAATAGAAACGTTTTATAGTTCAACAATTTTCAATTTAGCCCTTAAGCCCTTGTGTCAGCAATCACAGCGAATTCGACAACGGTAAACAAACAGCTTTTTATTGATCACCGCATTCAAACGTGCTCAAATTAATTACAAAACAGCACTGATAACGTTATGAACGGTTCGACAGACAATGTTTTATCATTTTAAAATTCCTGTTTAATGAGATAAACGCAACAAATTTTGAGCAAAAAAGCCCTAACATAAGTTGTAATTGCAAAATTCTGCACTCTGTTAATTTGCATTGATCTGTTAGGTTACTCAACAGAGCAATATGTTAATATGCAGCTTATCAGATGAGAGAGATGTAAAATTCTGCACTATGTTAAAACAAATTCAGAGCCCTAACATAAGCTGCTATTACAGAACGCCCCATGCTAATTGGCATTGATGTGTTAAAGAAGCCATGTTAATATGCAGCTTACCTACTGAGAGAGCAACATAACAGCTCGAGAGCGTAAAATCCGTTAGGCGTGGGAATAAGAAGGAATGCAAAAAATCTGCGCTTAGCAACAGCAACAACGGCGCAGCGAATAACGGATTGCCGAAATTGCGTAACGAATGTGACATAAATTAAAGCACTATCTTAAATTAGAACACTTATTCACTTTTTATTACTTTAGTTGAATGCACACATACTTTTTATTACTTTAGCTGAATGCACACATATTTCCTTATAGGTAATATATGTACATGCACTTGTAATTACTTGCTTATAAGGTAATATGCAAGCATACACATATATGCATACACAACGTGTATGTTCAATGAATGACTTCGCTTTTTATCACTGGAGCAGCAATAGATATGCTTATTCATATATGTATATTAATTATTCACATTAAACAAATGCAATAGGAGCAGCGTCCAGCTCAAAGAGAAAACGAATGCAACCAGATCAATCAAGAGATAACCGAAAACTAAAACGAAATTCTGCCTGAGTGCAAGCCGCCTACACAAAACGGACTTAAGAATTCGCGAGCAGAGGCGGGGACAGAGAGAGAGAGAGAGTAAAGCTGGGCTTGCACGCAGGCATGGGCAACAATAAAATACCAACACAGCAACAGCAGCTCTGCATGGGCGCGAGATCAACGCATAATGGCGGCCAGAGGCTAGAGAGCAGTGCTGATCATACAAAAACAAAATGTATGAGCGTGGAAGAAGAAGCATAGAGATGCGCTGCAGAGCGAGCGAGAGCATAGATAGGAACAAAATACAAGCACAACAACAACAACTACAGCTGCGCAAGGGCAACGCATAACGGATCATACAAATGGCGCATGGAAACAAAGAGAACAACAAGGAAGACAAATGTGAAAATGTAAATTCGAACAGATACGATAACATTTACATAATGACAATCTATTTTCAGCAGAATCAGCTAAAAATTATTCAAAGAAAAAAGAACCAATTGATAAGCAAAATTTCATGATTATCGAAATCAAGTTTTTGATTGGCCAAGCAGCTTCCACGAATTCGATAGCACTTGAATAAAAATGTGATTTTCTATTTAATTTTGATATTGATAAGAGTTTCGAGGAGCTGGACACATGTCCGAAATAATGCAACCGCAGCTCGAGTGGGCATGAGTCAACGCAATTGTAATAATAATAAAATAAAAATTGCGTTGCTTATCAAGCGAACTGATTACCCGGCGGAACTCACCGCTTTCTCTCTCTCTCTCTCTCTCTCTCTATTTACCTGGCGGCATCTACGCCCCTGTGCAAGCTCGCGCGCGCAAAAAAACAAAGCAAGAACACTTCTCAGCGACGGGAAAATTAATTAAAAACCACACTCGTATGTAAACAATATTACTCACGCGATAGCCGCAGGAACGAGGGAGAGCTTCCACTATATAAGCAGAGCGATCGTGGCAGAAGGCAAACAGAGTCTAGCCAAGTGTCTTCCAACTCGAAACAATGAAATTCCTATACAGCTGCGTTCTTCTGCTGGCCCTGTGCGCCGCCAGCCAGGCCTACAGCGCCACCTGGGGCAAGAGGAACAGCACCGATTACCTGCTCTCCCGCCAGACGGAGGTGCGTGCCCCGCTGAAGAACAGCTACTGGAACATCAATGTGGACTTTCCCCGTTCCGTAAGTTTAGCATAGATATCAGCGATAACAGCTGAAACTGAAAACCAACTCTCTTGCTGCAGGGCACCAGCAATCTCTACACGATCACCGCCATCAATGTTATCGATAACTTCCGCAACAGCTCTGGCGCCACGCCCAGCCTGTGGTCCGGCGGCCCCGGCTATCGTTTTGCCCAAATCAATCTGCGCAGCCAGGTCAGCAAGGGCCTCAACTCCACCGTCGAGATCTGGGGTCGTTAAGCTGTAATGCTTGGCGGGATTTAACCGATACGAAACTCTTCCAAACTCGCAATCAAAATATAGTTTAAAAAAGTTAAAAAAAAAAAAATAATAAAAATTTAAAATAAAACAGAATTTGCATTTATAAAAACGTTACTCTCTTCCTCTCTCTCTCTCCCTCTCTCTCTCTCTCTCTCTCTCTCTCTCTCTTTATCCCTCTCTCTCTCGAAGCTATAAACTGTCTGCGTTCAGACTATGATTAAATTTTATTGAAAGGCCTCAGATAGAAAGGAAGACCTTCTAGATACTGGAATATTCTATAATTTATATATACTCTTACCTAGGGCATTACAAATTTGTCATGTTATGTGTACACTTTGCTAGTTGCTCAGTTTTAAAGCGCATATCATAGAATTGCATCGGTTCGTCTTTGTGTTTTGTAGGATTTCGCTGGATCGGTGCACTATATCATAGATCTACCACAGGAATCAACGTTCAAGCAGAAAGTTCTTCTTGAATCAGTAAAATCTTAGCCAGATCGGTTTACTATATCATAAAGCTCTTCCGTAAGAATGGGTAGAATGAGCATAAGGATAGAAAACGTTGATATTTTACCAGATATATAGAGCTCTAACTCTATCTATAATAGAGTAACAAATCAAAGAACTATATCGAATGAGGAAAATCGAAAAATTGCTCAAAAGAAAAGCTCTGCCAGCTACACATCTGAAAGAGCATCGGAACTTCGGCGTGTTGAAAATCAACTGATTTTTTAGTATTTTCATTAAAAGCATGTAAATGCTTGATATCTTGACGATCTTTCTTGGCGAAACTGAGTGCCAGCCAAACAGATAAGTAGCTATAGAACGCTTCATGCGGCCATTGAATGGGCCTGAATGGGCCTGAATGGGCCTGAATGGGCCGACCCACGAATCGTCAACATATTATCTAGCCATAACTTGCACTTGAAGGCGTTCTGATGATTTGCATGGGGGTACCTGGTGTGGCAGCATTATGCCCTAGTCCTGGCCGGGCTTTAAGGGTGCTCCTGGCCGCAAGCAGAAAGGACCAAAGATAGATAGAAAAAATAAACGGAAAGAAAAGAAAACTTTGTGCGCCTGCAGGCAGCTGGCAAGGGAAAACATTCAATATTTAATAAATATGTAGGCGAGCACGAAATATACACATTTATTTTTTTTTTTTTTTTCTTTTTCAGTTAGCTATTTTGCACACAAATCCTGCAGCAGACAGACGCCACAAGGGGGGCGGGGCAAGGACTTATTGGCCTGGGCCTCATCTGAGCTGAGGGAGGGGAAGGGGGGAGGGGGTGTTGGCCAAACGAAAATGTTAAGCGTTACGGTCAAAAGGATGCGCCCCGAAGTCCTTTTCTCTATTTTCTATAAGGCCCAGCATTTTGTATCGAATTGAAATTTCAATTTCAAACGTCTTGAGGCGACAAAAGGCGACCAAATCGAAGCCCCCTCCTCCGTTCCTTCGTCCCTCCCTGTCTCTATTTGTTTTGCTTGCATGTAGGTAAATATTTGCACAGGACGCACAAATGTTTGAAAAGTTGTCAACGAAATGTTTCACTTAGTTAATATGCAAAACGCGCGGCTCGCAATGCAAAGCCGGAGCCGGATATGTTTACGGATGCCGCCACACGGATACACACGCCATCTGTTGGCCATCAATGCGACGGGGTAGGGGGCGGCGGAGGGTTAGGGGTTAAACTGGTCCTACCACCCCAAAAAATGGGCGGGGGCAAATCTGAAAAGAAAACTCGCAACTTGCACGCTCCGTCGAGTTGCGACAACTGCAGCCAAGGCTGTAAAAAAATGCACTCAAAGTCACGTAGAGTTCTTTTTTAGTCGAACATTTTTCTAGGGGAGTAAGAAAAAATAGCACAAAATTTCACAATATTTTTTATAGAGAGAGCGATAGAAAGAGAGGTGGAGAACAAGAGAGATCGAAGGGGAGAGAGATACAGGAAAGGAGAAAGGAAAGTAGACATGGAAATTTATGAGAAAATTTAGAGAACAAGAAATGGAGGGTAAAAGAGCGAGAGAGAGAGGACAGAGAGGGAAAGAGAGGTATAGAGAGGGAAAGAGAGAGAGAGGAATAGATAGAGAGATAGAGAGAGAACAGAGCAAGAATTTTTAACAAGACAATCTATATCCTAATTGAATTTATGAGAATGGCATGGTATGGTAATGCTTTTGAGAACATTATTGGGAGAGAAAATGAACGAGAGAGAGAAGGAGAGAGAGAGGGGGAAAGTGGGACAGAGGGAAAGAAAGAGATAGATAGAGAGATAGAGAGAGAGGGAGAGAGAGAGCAGGGCAGCAAGTAAGATTTGTAAACAATTGAATTTATGAGAATCGCATAGTAAGGCGATGCTTCACAATAAATTTTATTTTAATTTCGTTAAGCTAACTTGATGCACGTTAGGCATAAAGCGAACATAAATAGCGATTATTACTACCCGGCCTTGCCCGCACCACACTTCACTTTACATCTTGCTGCATGAGAGTGACTTTCCACATTTAAACTAAAACGCAAATCATGTAAAATACTTAATATTGCGACAAACTTTAAGAGCGACCCTCGCTTGAGATGCAGGCAGTTGCTGCCAAATTCGCTTTGGGTGCGCATTTAGTTGACAAATTTCTCATACGCCGCGTGGTGCGCTGCTGGCAGTCATTTTGGTCGAATGCCTAACTTAAGCCGCTTGCTGGCTAAGCTGACCACTACACAGCCCCACAACCAGAACCCCCCTCTCTCTCTCTCTCTCTCTCTCTCTCTCTCTCTCTCTCTGGCTACAGCTGTGCAACAGACGTCGTCCATGTCCAGGCAACAGCTTGCAAAGCAATTACTTCAAACTACCCGGAAATGTCGCCTGGCTGACCAGATGCCGGTGTCCCCATGAACTGCTCTCGGCCCTGGCATATGTGGCAAGCTGTGCGTATGTGTGTGTGTGTGTGTGTATGTGGGGGTGTTGCTGCAACAGTTATTGGAGCATGGCAGAAACATCGACCGCAGTGCGGCCCCGAGGCACAGCCATGGCGACAGAGTAGACGTCAGCCGGTTGGAGCAGACACGGACATAGCCAGAGCCACCATCACAGCCGCACAATTGCCGTCACCATGCCACATGGCATCCTGCCACATGCCACCTTGCCACATGCCGCTGCGGCTGGTTAAATTCTGCTGATTTTGTTGCCAGCAACATTGATTTTTAATAAATAGCAATTTGGCCCCAGCAAACGGACTTGTTATTATTATTTTCGCAGCACGTTCTCACAATCTGCTTTCAGGTGTTTACGTTTACGTGTTGCCAACTAGCGTAGCCACGCCCCAGCCCACCGCCTCCCCGTCCAGGGACAATCGCTTCAAATATGCAACAAGCCAAACAATTTTCAGCTTTGAATCTGTAAAATTGGTTAAATTAATGCCAATGCATTGCTTGGAGAATGTTTCTCTAATGCGCTAGATATTCCCTATTCCCAACAAAAAACTCCGCCCCCAACTCCTTCGCCCTGTGCCTCAAGCTGTAATCATCAAAGTTTACCACTGCACAGTGTGCCAAGTTATATGAAATAGGCATTTCTTCGTTCGAACATGCTCCAAAAGTCAATATGTAAGAAAATAGCCAAACATTTGTAGGTTATCGGTTCACATTTATCTGCTCGAATTGATTCAATATAATATATAGAAACCAATACACATACCTTTGCTATCGATTGCAGTTATCGGTAGACGAAGTAAGTATATTCGATTTATGTTATCGAATGAGCTCAATATGTACAAAAAGTCAAACATTTGCATGTTATCGAATGCTATTATCAGCGCAAGAAATAGTTATATCGGAGTTGTTATCAAATTAACACGATATATACAATTAATCAAGCATGTATATGTTATCGATTTTATTATCGATAATAGTAGTATCTATATTCGATATGTTATTGAATTTGTTCTCGATATGTTTTTTCCATTTATGCTATCGAATGTGTGCTAGTTAGTTATCGATAGATTTCTGTTTGTTTTGGCTTTTGTTATCGATGTCTACAATCGATTTTCTTACCTAAACTATTTAATCGATTAATTGAATCAATAATTCCTAAAAAAGTAACGATCTACCTAATACTTATTTGTTATTTGTTTATATTGTCAAGCCAGTTTCGCTTATGTTCGACTCACTGTGCATCGTGCACCGTGCACCATGCAGCGTGCAACGTGCAACGTTGGCCCCTTTGCTAGTTGATGCAAACGTAATGAAGTATTTATGATTGGCTGATTGGCTGATTGCAACGGGGTGTTGGCCAATCCGTTGCGCCACTTTTGGCCAACGTGGCAACAGCAGCAACAGTTTTGACAAGCGCTGCTGGGGATTTGTGGCATAACAAATTCGTGCCGAAAATTCTAAAATAACAGGGCACCTGCACAACACCAACACACACTCGCACACACACACACACACACACACACACACACAGGCTCGGCAATCAATATTGATGAGCGGCAACAAATATTTTTGTGCCAGTTCAGCTGCAACTGGGCGGGGCAAGGGGCAAGTGGCGTGTGCCGCAGAATCGTTGGAATTTGGTGAACTCTGAACTGCGGCATTAGGTTCGTCGTTATTTATCGCCACATTTGGCATGTTGCAGCTTATTTGCATGCTAAAAGTGATTAAGTCAACTTATCTCAGCTGCAACAAAAATTGTTTTTCATCTCTTTTGCCATAAAATATGCATCGAAATTTGGCCTTTTAGTATTTACTGTGAAATGAATTTCATGAAAATCGAAAGGCAATTACTTGTAGGTAAGCCCCAGCATGAACTGCATAGATTACAGGTGCACACACGCACACACCTTTAGAAAATAGAAATGCAATTGCCATAAATGTGTAAATAGGGAAATGCAAGTGCTTTGGTCGCATAAATTGAATGGCATTTGAATAACTCGTGTGGCTTAGTGTGAATTTAATTGTTATATTTGTAACAAAACGACGACAACAAAGACAACGACAAACAGACATCAAGCGAGTATTTAACTGCATCAGAAACAAAAATTTTGAAGCCTTGCTTTAATGGTTGTTAATGTTTCAATTTAATTTAAAATTCAAAATTAACTAAATATAGCTACAGTAGTACCTAAAAGGAACTAAGTTGCCCTAACATTGTAATATCCGTGCAAAATCAGCAATTAATTGCTTAAATTACATTTGAAAAACGTTGCATTAACAAACATTTCCATTTAAATTCCAACAAATAAAGATTTTCGTTAAGCCAGAGCGTAAATTCAAATTTCAACGATTGGCGCTCTTCGTTGAGCAGCTTGACGAAGTAACTTGTCTGAGCGCAGCCAACTTCATGCTTAGCAAACTTAGCGCCTAGCGTAGAAAAGGGCAAACTTGTTAGCGAAGACACCAACCAATTCGCATTAAATTGAACATGCTTTATAGCTGATAGATGGCGCCAGCACGGCTAGTAACTGCACACACCAGCCGCACAGATAAGACGCCAGAGTTGCACGCATTTACTTATCGAAAATGGCGCCAATTGAATTCAAGCCGAAATTGCGTAAAATTAATTAAGATAAATGGGAAATCAAGTAACAACAAGGTACCGTTAACGCAAGCTAACGATACAAATAGGTACAGTTACATTAACGCTGATTCAGCCAAACTATGAAAAGACGAACAAACAGATGGACTTTCACACATGTGCGCGCCTGTAAATCGCAAGTTAAACAAAAGTCTCTCATTCATTTACATAAAACAGACCCGTAATTTGTTCAAGTACATAGCACACACAGCACCAACTTCTATCCGACCCCACCCCCCCCCCCCCCTGCCCCACGGGAATCCATCCACATTGCCGCCCACGCATTTGCACAGCAACCCCAAAAAAAACACAGTTCGAGTTTCCTCGCTCATCAAATACACGCAACCACTATACACACACACACACACACACACACACACACACACACACGCATAGACGCACACTTACATAGGCGCCGAGGCATTTTTCTTTGTGCTTAGTTCGTTTGTGTTGTTCTTCTTCCCTTCTCGCGCCGCTCTCCGCTCGCCCAAAACATTCGGTTTGTTTGTGCAGCGCTCGGAAAAGATATCTTTCCATATGGCTGATTTTGAATGGTTAGATACTTTTTTCCTTTCTGTCATTTTCATAATGAATAATGAGGGAACGAAGTCTCTCGCTTGTATTTTCGATGTTTGTATTTCTGTTTCTGTGTTGGGCATTTTTGCCAGCCCGTTGGGCTTTAATATTCCGCTACGCTTAACGAATTGCGACTGTACCTCAGTTGGTTGTATGTGCTTTCCACTCGCTCTTTGGCTCTGATTTGCAGCTGTGAATAAACGTAAATTTTCACGTCTAGTTCACTTGCACCTTTGCGGCCATTAATTTTAAATCAAGCCAACTTTTCGTTTGCCTTTCAGCTCAGCTCAGCGCTAGTTCTTGCACCCCCGCCCGACCCGAGCCCTTCAATCAATACACACACACAAACACACACGCACACATACTCATGTGCATATGTATGCCTGCTGCTCCTGTTCCGTTGACGCAAAAACTCGCCCCCTTTTTGCTAACGAAACGCGCCTTAACCACGCCCGAACAACCCGACCGTTTGGCCTAATCGCAGCACGTTTCGGGCGCCGCCCAATCGCCGTCCGCTCGCACACTTCGGCTAGCTGCTGTCGGCTCGCCTGCGATTGGTCGACTTTTTCGTTCGATTGCCGACGAATCGTGCACAGTTCTTCGTTCGGTTCTTGTCGTCGTCGTCGTCGTCGTCGGCTGCTCGGCAACCGGTTTTGCGCTCTCTTCGTTGCAAGCGCAGCAAAGCGACAAATGCGACGCTCGCTCTTCACTTTTACAGCGCGCTCTCTTTCACTGCAAGAGAGCAACTGAATTTAAGCATTTGCAAAGACGCGACGCGCATTAATTTATGAATTATTTCATTTACAACATTTTTTCAAAAACCTTTTCTATTTGACTGCCAGTTGCTTTGGGCAAAGTCTTACCAGACTCTTTCGACTGTAAGAAATATAAGATTATGATGTTGATGAAAATATTTCAACTAATAGAGAAGTGAAGGGAAGAGGTTCTTTTCTCCTTGTCTTTTCTCATGTCACCTCCTCGTCAGTCTCTTCTAAGAGTTTTCACTGTACCTAATTTATTCTATCTGCATAAGAATACGAATCAGATTATTAAGGAAAATATCGTCTTTTGTAATGAGTATTTTTGGGATCAGAAAGTCCGTCTGGCAACTCTCTACACTCTTGCAACCAACCTAACCTCACAAGCTCGAACTTTATCTGAAAAAGTCACATCAAATATTTCACTGCTCTCGTATGATACAAAGGAGCAGTCTTCATTCTTGGGACGCCAAAGCTACATAAGTTCACATACAGTGAAAACTCCGCCAACGAACACTCCTATTAAATCATAATTGAAGCAAATCATAAATGAATCACAAATGAATCAATTCATATCCATATCCAGTTGTTGTCTACTAAGCTTAGCCTCCGCTAGCCTAGCCTCTGTCCGCCTCAAAGAGTTTCCACTGTATCGTCCAGCTCTCTCTATATTTTCTTTCTCTATATTTTGGCTTTTGTTTCTGCTGCATTTCTCATGCCGCAAGGTCCATTATTTCCGAATCAATCAATTATCACAGTCAATTATTTGGCCATCAGTCGAGACGCAGCTGCCACCCCCCTCCCTCGGCTCATTACCCTCCTCTGCCACACGTCCTGCCACAGCGGGAAGCTCGCTTTATTCCCCATTTTTAGCTGCAGTCGTGGCAATAAAATGGCTTCGACTATGTTGCCACAGTCACTCTGCCCCCGACACCTGCCGCCGCCTCTGCTCCCGCCAGAGCCAGAGCATCCGTCAAAATCTCGAAGCATCTGTGACTCGAGTTGCCGCCCGTCGGAGTCCGTTTGGGCTTTTAGTTTATTGCGCGGCGGCACTTGACTTGCCACACAAATCAACATTTTTAATGAAATGAGCTGTCAAAAGTGCCGTTACCTTCAGCTGGACCCACAGTAGCAAAAACTAAATGTTTTGTTGTTGTTGTTGTTGCTTTTCGCTTTCATATTTTAAAGCACTTTATTAGTGGCTGAGTTTTTGACAGATTTGTATTGAACGTGGTTGAAAACGTGATGCGAGTTCTTCTTTTAGTCGGGAGAAGAGGGTAAGGAGAGGGGAGGAGCCCAACACATTTGTAGGTTATGTTTGTTAAGTGACAACATTTTGAGGTTATGCGTAACTGTACTTTTATTGACAGTTGAAATCCATTGGCAAAGTCCGAATATGACAAAGTACAGTTGCCTAGCTGCAGCTAAAATGAAAATACTTGCTTGTCTTCTAAAATCTTCTCTTCTTTCTTGATATATAAACTTATGCCTTACTTACACGAACCAAGTACAATCCCTTAAAGCTACAGGGTGTTCTATTGAAAAACAACCTAATCAAGCTTGACAACTCGCGAGCTTTACGTGTATTCGAGTTGTTTATGTGATAAAATTCACAACCAGTGCAAGTTAAATAATCTTAAAGGAGATTTTTCACATCGAAAACGCTTATCAATTGATTCACAAATGTATTTACTTTAGAGGGAGAGAGATGACGAATGTCCTAGAAGAAGAATGATACGAATGCGAAGAAGAGAGAACTCAGGTGTCAAAATACAGCTTAGCTTTCATTCACAATTGCCACGTGTAAAAAATTCCACTCAGCTCTTAACGTGCTCTCGCTTTCTTCTCTAATACGCAGCAATAAACAGCTATAAACAGTTATGAACAGCTATGAACAGTTATCATGAACGCACAACAATTGAGTGCTCCTCGCCTCCCCTCCTTCTGCACCTCTTTCGAATGTACGGCAATCGAAACGCACAGCCTTCGCTCGCATAAAATGGCGTCGCGTTCAGGCAGAGGCACAGAGACGTCATGCATTGACGTCATGCGGGGCGGGCTGCACGGCGGGGCACACACACACACACACACGCATTAGCTCGAAAACTTAATTCAATTAACATTCTGTTTGGCTAAATATTTATTTTGGCTTTTAATTGAAAACAAAACGGGCTAAATCGAAATGCCAAAGCGACACGCAAAAATGCTATAATTAAATTTTATCACTTGGCGAAGACCGCAGACCGAAGCGAAGCCGAAGCTTTCGACAGGCATTCGCTGAAATAATTATAAATAAATGAGTGCAGGGTGCAGCAGAAGGGTGCGAGGGTGGAGGGGCCGGGCAGAGTCATAAACAAACACATTTTCAGCGAGAAAACGTTAAATGAAAAGTCGTAAAAGCGGCGCCAGCTAACGATAATGCTCAAAGCCAAACACAAACTCGTAATTGCGATTTTGATAGGCGACAGTTTTCATTATGACCATATATACATACATGTGTGCGTGTGTGTGTGTGTGTGCTGGCATTGGCAAGGGGCGTGTGCCACACACAGCGTGCTGTTTGGAGCGGGGCAGAGTGTGTAGAAGAAAAGCTCATCAAATGTGCCAGCAGGCAACGGCAACGGCGTCAACTTAATAATCGCCATAAATGGCGCCATTCGCAACGCAAGTCGATCTGCGCTGTCGCCCCCGCTGTGGCCCACAAAGCTGGCAAACAACCCACAACTGACGGCTGAATTTTCGCCATGCTACGTAATAATGAAGTTTGGCAACAGCGCAAACGGCAAACGCAAAAGTAAATTATAGTAAAATGCGTTCGTATGCGAGCATGTGCGCGCGTCTACATATATGTGTGCGAGTGTGTGCGTGTGTGTGTGTGCGAGTGTGTGTGTTTGTTGTGACCTTTTTCGTGACGTTGCAGTCGGCAAAGCAAGCGACTGACAAGATATTCAATTCGAACTCAATATTTTATTCGAATTTCGAATGTGAGAGCAGCGCAAGCGAATTCGCCGCAAGAGAGTGTGAGCACGAGAGCACACGACGGCTCAACTGCGCTTGTGTGTGTGTGTGTGTGTGTGTGTCGATTTCGTTTGCGTGTGTGTGAGTGCGGATTTTGATTCAAAACAGAAAAGCGCGGAAAATTTTATAAGCGCGCCAGTTTTTGTTATGTTTTGGGTTTCGCTTTGGCTGTGTGTTGTTGCTTCATTTTGGCTCTGCCGCAGCTGAAAAGCGGCAACAGCGCATCGCTTGCCGAAACGGCGGCACTCTCAATCCGCAGCTCGCTTTCTGCTTCGTTTGCCGCCGATGCCGATAATAATTGAACGAACGTTCGCCCAAAAGCAACAACAACAACAATCAAAATAATATAAAATCAAATCGAATAAAAAGCAAAGACGCAAAAACAAGCCTCTAAAATCATTTTGTTATTGTCGATTTTGGTTTTTGGCTCGCTTCTAATTACGCCCAATATCGTTTTGCCATTTCTGTTGTTGTTCGTCTGAAAAATTGGCCAAAAGTCAGTTGAAATTGGCATTTTCAAAATTGACTGAAATTCACGTTTTCCGCACTTAACTTTCATTTCGAAATCGTGGCATTTCAGAAATGAGTGGAAACTCAAACTGCACAAAACGGAAATACAGTTTTTCGCCAAATTAACATATTCTTTTATGACGAATCAAAGGGTTTTCAAAGGTTTTTGTAGTTCTAGCTTGAAAATACTCATTATGTTTTTGAAAAGTCCTTGAATTAGAGTTTCATGTAATGTAAAGGTTTATAAATCTGAAAGTTATTCCCCACTATGAGCTTTAATTATAGTCAATTGTAAATATGCATAAGTATCATAAAAATGAATTTATCTGACATTCTTCAACATTCCTTAATACTATATTTCCCCATCCAGGCTTTGGCGACTTGAAAGAATGTGTCTCGAGATAAAGCGCTTGATTTATACTGAAAAGATGGAAAATAAAATGCCTACAAAATGCGAGAGAAGCTTGAAAGAAACGCCGTTTAGCACATTATCGACATTTGAATGAAACAGACTTTCATTTGGACGGCCATTTTGATAAAGTTTTTTTTTTGCCCACATTTCGAAAATGCCATAAAATATATATTTAGATTCGATTGGATATAATGAATACCCCTAGCAATGAGCAGACGAATATTTCAAAATGTCATAAATGTTGAAATACGAAATATTGGAAAAATATTATAAATGGAAACTTACGCAAATGCTAAATGAATATTAATATGTATGCGACGAGTTAGGTAAACGGAAATCTTCTTACCCAGATATCTGCTCTCGCAATTCCGATAAGGTGGTGTTAAATATCTTAAGATTTCAGATAGAAACTTTCATATTATCAATGCAGATATTGCTCCAAATAGAAACAGAACATAGAATTTCCAGTGTGAACAGACAAGCTTGAGCTCTGTCAACCATTTACCTGAAAATGATAAAAACAAAAACGTGTTAACACCCAAATCTGATAAGAAATCAAATCAATATCACTGCTAAAACTTGATTAAATTCAAGATTTTATACAAACAGTGGAAACTCTGCTCATGGACATTTCCAATATACAAATCTCATATGATTGTAACTTTCCTTTTGCCAGTCGCTATCCGCCCCAGAGAGTCTTTACTGTACTTACATATCTTTAAAGTTCCGTAATTGTCTTTAGTTTTTACTGTAAAAACTTGCAAATGATAATTGAAGCAATCTTCCATTCGAGAAGCACAAAGATGGAAGATAGATAAGTAAGAAACGCAATGCAATGGAAAATGGACAAAGCACAAAGAAGGGCGGCGATAGGCAAAATCGTTGAATGAGAAAACGACAAAACTTGCACAATAACAACGTAAGCATAGTATAAAGAAAAGAAAAACATATGAAGAATAAAATGAATAACTGCATATAAAAGATTTAACTGTTAAAATTGTATAGTTGTTGTTGTTGTTGTTGCTGTAGCTGTAGCTGAGTTCGCCGCCGCATGCTTTTGATGGGGCTGGCGCAAAGCAAACATGAAAATAAACAGAAGCAAAACGCTGATGTTCCAATTTAGCACAAACTTTCGCTAGTTGTCGCCGCTTGGGGCCGCACGCTGACGCCAAAGGGGTGAGGGGCTGGGCAGCAGAGCTGTAGGTGACGACGTGCAAAGCGCACACAGATAGACACAGCAGACAAAGCGACTGAGAGACAGCGTCAGCAGCAGCAGCAGCAACAGCAACAGCAACAGCGACTGCGGCAGCGGCAGCGTCGTTGCTGTTGTGTGTGCAAACGTCATCAACATAATTTTCATCACTCAGCGATAAGCACGAAATATGCTGATGAAAGACGCCGAACAGAGCGACGAGCAGAGCGAAAGCCGAGCAGCAACACGAATGCCAAGCAGCAGAGCACGAACGCGAGCCGAACGCCAGAGAGCTGTGCATAGAGTGTGGGACTCCCAAGGGGCCAGAGGTGGAGTCTCACGGTTGCGAGCCAAACGAGCCAAAGAGAACACCCCAAAAGGGCCTAGCGATAGAAAGATAGGCAGAGAGAGAGAGAGCGAGCGAGAGAGCACGCGTGCGAGTAAGTGCAATCGTGTCAACGGGCTTGGGGCCCAGTCCCGCGGCGCACACAATGCCAGTCGGCGGCTGTCGGTGGGTGTCGCTGTACAAAGGCAACGGAAGCGGCTCATTGAGCGAGCGACTGGGTACCGACTGGCGGCAACGGCTGCCAATTTGCCGCGCGCACAAAAACAACAATGAGCGCAAGCACCCTCCCTCTCCTTGCCACCCTCCATCCTCTTTTGCTGTTGTTGTTTTTTTTTGCCTACTGCAGCCAGTTGTGTGCGACAGCCGTGACACTCCATTTTTATTTTGCCTTCGCCGCATCGACGTCTCGACACACAATATGCTCTTGGCACGAAACCTATGGCCCGGTCCGTAACCAGTGTGTCCACACAGCTTGCGCTGCACTAATTGAAGCTCATGATTAAGTAACTTTTGCAAAACTCTCAAGTCCCAGCGGCACAAAAACCAGCGACTGCGACAGCGACAGCGACAGCGACGGCGACGGCGACGTCAGCGTCGACTTTCCGGCATTTGTCACGAAAAGGTCTCTGGAGCTGCAAGTTTTATGGTGCACCTTCTCTTTTTTGCTTTTTGTCTACACTTTTTGTTGTTGCGGCAAATGTCAAAATATAAATCAATTAACTTTTACGTACAACTTTGCACAAAAGTTTCAAAGCGAATTACCGCAGCCAAATGCAGCGCGCGCTTTTTTCTCGACGGGATTTCAGCATTTTGTACAGTCGCGGAAATTGAGTATTGGCCATAAAGAGTCTGGCTGGGCATTCGATCGGGTGGGCGTGGGCGTGCACCTAGCGTATCTAATAGCTTAAAGTTACTTTACAGCTCGAAGAGTATTAGGCGAATAGAGTCCATTTGAAATTGAGATTGAGATAGAGATTGAGTAGATCTGGCTACTTCTTTGAAGTGGAAGGGAACGAGACGGGAATATCTTCTATATGTAGAGTAGAGCCAAAGCTTAACGTGAGCTCCTGTTACGATGGCTTTATCTTTAAGTTCCAATTATTGGATTCATTTGGGCTACAATCAACGCCTCCTCCGTACATTTAGGCGGATATATGCACAGTGAAAACTCTGCTTAAGGAGACTCCTTTTAAATGAAAACTGTTTTCTGGGTCCGCTCAAGAGGAGTGTTCGCCTTATGGAGGGGCAATGGATCTGGCCTGGTTCATAACGACAAAATTGTCCGCTCAAGCGAGTTTTAACTGTATTATCATCATAGAACAAATCTCAGCGAAAGAGTTGTCTAAGTGAGGCACTTTTTTAAGCCACTAAACAACGAAGTTCAGGGTTCGAGTTCTAGCGGTTAAAACTTGCTCAAAATTCGCAGTAATATGGATCGTAATACTATCTTAAGACTTTATGCATTTCAAAGGAAAATCCCAGATATAACATTTAATAGTTCGCAAAATATTGTAAAAAGCATGGAAACATATGCTTAAGTTTTCCGATTTCAATATTTACTAGTTGAAAGGGTCTAAATAATTATATAACGAGTTTCTTCTTAGATCTGATGGAACAGGAAAATGTATTATTGAGTAAGATGTTCCCCGTGATGTTTTGTTATTCAAGTTATTTAAACCCATTTCATAGCCTGAATGTTGCCTAAATGTTGTGTACAAACGAAAGGACATTGCTTTTCCTCAGCATGCTCAAAGTATCCAATAACAGAAGACCAGTACACGTTTACCAACACTGAAACTCAAAATGGTGGCCAGGCTTGTGAGTATTCATTATTCAAACTCAACAATCTCGAAAGGAGGTAAATGAACCCGTCATGCTTTAAGTATCTAGTGACAGAAATAATGTATACGTTTACCAACACTGAAACACAAAATGGTGGCCAGGCTTGTCAGCATTCAATCTGGCCACATTCAACATTCAAACTCTTGAACAAGATCGTATCTTGGGTTGTGTTTTGTCCGTAACTGAACTGAGTTCAGGTGAGATTTGCTGAGGGTACGTAATGTGCGAGTTGCTTTGGATCACTTTCGTTTATGGACAAACATTTGAACGAAACGAAAGCTCATTAACTTTAATGTCCAGCATAGAAAGTTAATCGTATAAACAAGTGTGTGTGCTTGTGTGTTTGTATCTAAATATCAGCTACAAAGGCCTTCATTTGCGTTATTTACAAACAAACAAAGAAACAAACGAGCAACATCAACGAATGACTCTATGCGTAGGGTATTTAATGTACGTATGTATCTGTATCTGTATCTGTAGCTGTAGCTGTATCTGTATCTGTAGCTGTATCTGTTTGCATATAATAAGTATTTATGCACACACTTATATATATATAGTCGTACTGTGCCGAGTGTATCTAGAGAAGAGCTGCTGCTGCCAAAGTAAACAAAGAAATCATTTCAATCCCAATTTCCAAGGCAACGCAGATCCCAGCGGATGTTTACTTCGCCCACGAAGCAGAAGCAATTTGATCAGTCAAAGTCAACTTTATTAACTTGAGAAATTGTGAAAAATTCCACAAAATAAACCAATTCAAATACAAAATTAAAAAATTGAAATTGAAATAATAATATTTGGAATAAATGTGCATCAGTCTGTTGGAATTTGATGCTGTCGGCTTTGGCTCAGAAACGATTAGTTCGAGTAAGTTTTTCAATATTTAATCGTTTCGCTTTTCAAGCATTTCCCATGGGCATTACGAAATAACTAGCTATACATATGCCTATGCATAGAAGAGTTTCTATACCCTGTAAATATTAACAAGAAATGTGGCTAGATGACAAAGTTGTCTTTTTCTTTGTTAATCGGAATTTTAAAGCCTCATCTTAAGGCCCCTTCTAGTGTACATTAAAGATCAATTATATCCGGCCATACCCAGCTATTTATTCGACCTTATATTTATCTGTCGGTCAATTTGTCTGTCAGTTTATCTGCCAGCTTAACTGTCTGTCAGCGCGTCTTTCGATATGAAAGACGCGGCGATTTCTTTGCTTTTTATCGATTATTGCAGTCTCGATACATATCGATTATCGATTTTTAGCGCATAGCTCGGCTATTATAGGAGCTAGAGACGCAAATTGTGCTTGAAAGCGAATACTTTCTCTGGATGAGTACTTTCGCGGCCTTAATTTTTTTGGTATATGCGAACATGTTAACGACATCTTAAGGACCTGAAAAGTATATCAAAATCGAAGATCGTAATAGGCACTAGAAGGCATTTTTTCTACTAACGGGGAGCTGTGGTTTCGAGGTAAGCTTGTGAATGTATATAGGGTATCTACAAGTCGAGCACGATTGGTGCGGTACGACTAGGAATTCGATTTTCGGGGACTTTGTGGTAGATATAAGTGAAGTGTAAGGTAAGTGTAAAATACTGTACAGGGTATCTACTAGTCGAGCATAGTAGGGGGCTGCGCTAAGAAGTAGAAGATGGCAATTGTTTGTGTTTAGAGGTAAGTGCAAATGCAACAGGCGCCAAGCTCGAGACTCTGTACAGGGTATCTACGAGTCGAGCAAGTCTTGCTTTAAGCTATTTCTTGTATTTCAACTGAAATTTGATACTTTTCGGTGCATTTTTCGGCGCTATTTGCTCATCCTGTGGCCAAATCCGCAGCCGAAACAGACAAACAGAGTCTGACTGCGGCTCAGGCTGAGGCTGAGGCTG